AAAAATAAAAATACTTATAATATTTTTTATATATTTTTATTATATTTTTTATAAAAAAGGAATTATATTAATTATATTAATATTTTAAATATTTATTAATTAAATATTTTAATTATTTATTAAAAAATATAAAATATAATATAAAAATAAAAACTTTAAAGATTATTATAAAGTTTTATTATTATTATTAACTTTATAATTTTACTTTATAAAAATTTAAATTTATTTTAAAAAATAATTATTAATATTATATATTTTTTTAAAAATAAGCTTATTTTTTATATTATTAATTTAATAATAATATTTTAAATAATTTAATTTTTTAAGTTACTTTTAATTAAAAATATATAAAAAATACTTTATAAATATTAAATTAATATTTATTTTAACCTTTTTAATTAAACTTTTTATAATATTAATATAAACTTTATATTTATTAAGTTTTAAGAAATAATATAAATAATAAAAATTACTTATAAATAAATTTTAATAAAAGCTTATTAATTTATTAATAAAGTTAAATATTTAATATTTTATATATTAAATTAATTATTATTTATATAAAAAAAGTTATTTTTTAAATAATAATAAAAATTATTAATAATATTTATAACTTTTAAAAAATTATATTTATATTACTTATTTTTAATATTTATTTATATTTTATAAAAAGCTTAACTTTTACTTTTTTAATATAAAAATAAATTAAAGCTATTAAAATAATAATAAAGTTTTTTAAGAAAATAAATATTAAATAATAAATAAATATAACTTTTAATATTTATAATAAACTTAATATTATAAAAACTTTTAATTTATTATTATAAAATAATATAAAAGTATAATAAAAAAATAATAATAAAGCTTATATAAACTTTTTATTATTAATATTTATAATTTTATATTAAATTTTTTTAATAACTTAATAATCTTTTAATTTATAATAATATAATTATATTATTATAAAAAATAAAAAATATTATAATTTAAACTTTATAATTAAAAAATAATTTATAATATATTATATACTTTAAATTAAGTTTTTTAAATATATATTTAAATTTTTTAAAATTAAAGTAATAAAGATAATTTTTAAAAGTAAAAAATAAGCTAAAAACTTTTATTAAAATATTTTTAATATAAATATTTATTATTTAAGTATTTTTTAATTAAATATTTATTATATAATATAAAAAAGATAATTATAAATTTATATTAAAGCTTTAATAAAATAATATAATTATTATATTTAAAAATTTATTTAAGGAATTTAATTATAAGAAAGTATTAAATTTAATTAAATATAATATCTTTAAATTTATATTTTATAATAAAAAAATATATAAAAATATATAGCTTTTTAAGTTTTACATAATATATAAAATTAAAAGTAAAATTAAAAAGTTTTATAAAAAGTTATGCTTTATAATAATTAATTATAATAATTATAATAAAAAAGAAATTTTTACTTAATTCCTTATTATTTAATAATTAAGTTAATAACTTTTAATTACTTTAATATTATTTCTTTTTTAATAAAAAATATATATTAAGCTTTAAAATATTATTTAAGCTTATTTATAATTAAAATTAAAGCTTAAATATATAATATTTATAAAGTTATTATTAAAGATTTATAATAAATATCCTTTTAATATTATTATATATATTATTAAACCTTTATATAATATTATTAAATTTAATATATATTAATAAATAATATATTATAAATATTATTATAAGAAATTAAACATAATTATTTTTATTTATAACTTATACTTTCTTATTTTAAATAATAATATAAATAACTTTAATATTATAATTATATAAATAAATAATACTTTCTTTATTATTACTTTAATATTTTTAATAATAAAAAAAAATTAAAAAAATAAACATTTAATATAAGTTAAAGATAATACTTATTCTTAAAATAATACTTAATTTTAATAATATAAAAATTATTATTATAAAAAATAATATTATTAATATATATTAAAAAAATTAAAGCATAAAGATTACCTTTATTTAAATTACTTTTCTTAATTAAAAATAATAATATATTAAATAATAAATTTATAATGCTTATTTAACTTTTATTTATTAATTAAAAGTTATATTTAACTTATTTATAACTACTTAAATTATTAATTTAAGTAAAGAAAATTATATTAAGTTTAATAAAAAGCTTTAATAATAAGCTAATTATTTTAAATATAATATATAATATATATTACTTAACTTAATTATAATTAAATTACTTATCTTTATTAATAATTCTTTTATTAATAATTAAGATTTTAATTCTTAAATAAGCTTTATTATTACTTTTATTAATAAAACTTAAAATAATAACTTTATAAAATTAAATATTTATAATAATATTATTTATTAATTCTTTATTAAATATAAGAAAATTATTAAAAGCATTTTAACTTTTAAAATTTATAATATAATTTATAAATTTAATATAAGTATTATTTTAATAGTTATTTTATATTAAATTATTACTTATCTTAATATTAATATTATTCTTTTTATAATTTATATAAATTTATACTTTATATATAAATGCTTAATTAAGCTTAATATAATTAAAAAAAATGCTTTATAATTAACTTAATAATACTTTAATAATTATATAAAAAACATAAAATTTTTAAAATTTAATAAATTATTAATAATTATAATTTAGCCAACGCTTTTATAAAGAATATATTAAATAAAACTTTTAAGCAATTTAAAATTATTAATAAGATTATAATTAAAATATAAAGATATATTAATTAAGAATAATTATTTATTTAAATAAAAGGAAAAGGTATATTAAGGCTTAATATATTACTTATTATTAAGGAAAACATTTAAATAAAAGTTAATAAAAGTTAATAAGTTAAGCTAATTATAAATAAGGTTGCAAAGAAAAAACTATTAAAGCAATTTAATCTTTACTTTTATTTAATAAAAGTATATAAAATTAATAAAAGTTTAAATCTTTCTTTTATTAATTAATTATAAATTACTTTAAAAAATAATATAATATAACTTATATTTAAAATTACTTTTCTTTTAAAAGCAAACCTTATAATTAAGATTTTTATAATAATACTTATATATTAAAAGTTTAAATAATAAAGATTATTATTATTTTATAAATACTTAAATTGTTAACTTATATTTAATAAACGTTTTTAATTAAATTTTATAATTTAATATTTATATATTAATCTTATATATGTTTTTATTTATTAACTTAATTAATATTAAATAATTTCTTAATAATCCTTTATATTTAACTTTTTTTTTATTTAAATACTTTATTTACCAACCTTTATAACTTATTTTATTTATTCTTCCTTTATAATTAATTAATCTTTATTTAATTATAAAGATTAAATATAATTAAGCTTAAGCTAAATTAAATTAAGGTATATTATAAGTTAAAAATTAAATAATAATATTATTAATTTAAGAATTTAATTTAATCCTTATTTAACTTAAACATTATAAATAATAAAAGTATAAATTTATAAAATGCATTATAAATAAAATATTTATATAATAAAAATAATAATTTACATTTTATTAATTAACGTAATTAAAACAATTTACTATATATAATTATTAAAATAACCTTTATTTATTAATTACGTACTTTAATAAAACAATTAACTTTTAACCCTTTAATAATAACCTAAGCTTTTTTATATACTTACCTTTTATAAGCACTTAATATAATTAAATAAACGCATACCTTTAAATTAATTTAATTAATTAATAAATTTAAACTTAGCAATTTTAAGTTTAATTTAACTTTTTTTTTTTATATACTTTTTAAAAACATATATTAATTACTTAATTAAAGATTATTAATATAATTATAAATATATTATAAAAAAATAATAATATTAAGTATAATAAGCATTATAAATAATTAACATTAAAGCATTAATAAGCAAGAATTACGTGTTGCTATACATAATTACCCTTAAATAATTTATAGCTAAAAAAAAGGTTTTATAACTTATAGTTATAACCTTTTTTCCTTTTATATAACTAATTTAAATATAATTAATCTATTATTAACCAATATATATTAACCCAGCTAATAAATATTATAAATTTAAATTTATTAAAAAATTTAAAAAAAATTTTATAAATATATTATTTTATTAAAAAAAATATTAAAACTTAAAAATAACTTAATTAATAATTTTAAAATAATTATTATAAATTTACTTTAAAGATTACTTAATATAAAAATAATAAAATATCCTTATTAATTTATTAAAATAATAAATATTAAGGTTAAATATTAATTATAATAATTTTTTTAATATTATAATATTTATTTAAGGGTTTTAAGTTTAAATTAATTTTTATAAAGTTTACTTTTTAATTATAATTTATTTATAAAAAAATTTAATTATAATTAAAAAGCTTAATAAAATTTAACTTAAAATTTTAAAATAATATTTATAAATTTATTTTAAGAAATATTTAAGTAAAGTATAATAAATTTTAAAATAATATTTATAAATATATTTTAAAAGATATTTAAATAAGGTATAATAAATCTTAATAATATTTTAAAATAATATATTTTAAAAAGAAATAATTATTATAATATATTATATAAATAATAATTATAATAATACTTTTAATATTATAATATTACTTTTTAAATATTTAATATAATAAGCTTTTTTAATTTATAATATAATTATATAATAATTAATTAAGTTATAATATTAAAATATTAATTAATAAAAGTTTTTATTATTATTTATAAGCTTTAAGCGGGGTTTTTATAAACTTAAAATTTATATATATAATCTTTTTAAGGCTAGTTTATATATATACTTTTACATTATATTTAAAAAGTATCCTTATAATTATCTAGCTAATGCAATACCTATATAGCATTCACGGCGAACGTTAGGATTCCACAGTCGCGTGACAACCATTCGACATGTCTCATCTCACCAGCAAAGAGCCCAATGAAGTCGAGGAATGCCAAGTTCATGGGCATAATCCCATCGGGCGACGCCGAGAGCACCCGAGTCTTCCTACGTGATCAGCTGCCTCAGATGCCCAAGGACTACATCGTGCGTTTCAAGAGTCGCCTTACAAGTTCCAACAGGCCATGCTCAAGATGCTCAAAAATTCAATTCTCGCAATTCGGCCAGGAATCGGGATCCTCGGTCTCGGAAGGGCAAATCACGAAGTACATTATCGACCTTAGGTCTATCCTGGGCAAGCGTGATAGTTGTGACTTCTGCCGTCTGCTTTTCCTTGCACTTTGCCTCCCGGAGAACGACCCTCTCCACAACGACGAGATACAGACATCTATCCAACGAGACCCGGTACTTTCGGCCCAAAGGAGCCGGAACCCACCGTACCATGTCAGCTTCGCCACTTGGACATCAGAGCGTACACGCACGCTTACCGATTCAGACGCCAAGTGGCCGTTCGGGTATACATACGATAATATCGGCATTGGAAACAGCCGCGACGTTTCATCCAACCAGACGAGCGCAGAGAGTAGTGAGGCAGTAGACTTTGAAGAGGGCGGCGAACTGAACGATAGGACGACAGCACACGCGGCCCGACACCTATCCATTTTCGGCCTCGTGACGGTCAAACAACTCGGCAGCGTCGACTCCAGGGTGGGGACCACTATAACGGACGCAATAGCAGTGGCCCTGAGTCTAGAAATTCGCTAACTTTGGGTCGATCGGTTATGCATCATCCAAGACGACAAAGAAGACATGGAAGCCCAGATCGGGCAGATGGATCGTATCTACGGCAACGCTGTGGTGACAATAGTCGCGGCGACCAGCAAGGCCTTGCACACTGGCATCCACGGTGTCACAGCCCAGAGATGTGTTGGCCAGTTAGCTGGGCAGGTGTGCAGTGCTCCGGTCGTGAACGTCCTCGTCCCCATCCAGTCCGACACCAACCTAGATCCATGGGAGGGGCGAGCATGGACTTTCCAAGAGAAACCCCTGTCCAAGAGACTTCTGCTGTTTCATGGAGGCATGGTGGACTTCCACTGCCGCTGCGGCGTCATGCGCGAGGACATGACTGCGCGAGACGCCGGTCTCGTGCCGCCTGTGATTGGGTGGCTATCGCTCGCAAGCCATGAGATCCTGTCCTCCTTGAAACTCCGGAACTACGAGGGAGAGCCGCCGCGCTTGCTGCGATCCCCAGTGTTCGCCGAATATGCCGCGCTCATCGAGCAGTACACTCCGCGGAGGCTGTCTAATGCGTCGGATGCCGTCCGTGCCATTCTCTCCCTGCTGAAGATACTCATACAGAGCGACCGAGGGGGGGCTACAATGTTCCACGGGCTCGTCGAGGAGTTCTTTGACCAGGCCCTGCACTGGCAGCCAGCCGCCGGAGAAAACGTGCGCTTGCGGCTTCGTTCTGGCCGAGATCGAGCATCAGGGTCACGCTTCCCCACGTGGTCATGGGCTGCGTTGGGAGCCCGTCGAAGACCACCCTGGTGGGGTGCGATACGAAGTCCCATTTCGTGTCCAGACAGACCACAAAGGAGCGCTGATGAAGGTGGTGCTTGATGATGCTTCAGAGGCTCCAGAAGAGCGAATGCGACCACTTATTCGGTGGTACATTCCGAGGATTCCACGCGATCAAGCATTCGGGCCTGCGCCCGTGTCGAGGCAGAAGTCGTTTCCAGGCACTGGGAAGACCGCAACTCCACATTTCACGCGGACAAGGCCTGAGATATCTCGTCCGCCGCCCCCAATGAGACCAAAGCCTGAGAGGTTTCGCTCCGCACCTGCGCCGAGGCCAAAGCCGGATAGGCTACGCTCGCAACAGCCGACGAACGTTCTTCGACCCATGAACGGAACAGGGCTGGGTATTGCTTTTGAGGCGAGGGCAGACCTGGAACGCTGGATCAAGTTTCTCGATCGAGGAGGCACTGACCAGAGCGAACCGAAATTGTCTGTCCTTCAACTCTCCACCATTATGGAAGGTGGTTGCCTCGTATTCAAGACCAGGAGTGCCCAATTCCGCCTTGGAGACCCGGTTGCGCATTGAGACCTTGTGGCGGCGGACAGGCGCCACCTCGGACGTATCGAGCAAACTCGTATCCCATAAAACACAGCACATATACGAGACGGCACTCCTGAACAAGAATCGTCTGGAAGTGGGTCGAGTCGTCCTGCCTGATCCAGTCGTACATCAGCCGTCAGATAATCTGTACGACTTTATCATGCTGTCTGAGGCTCAGTACCATGGGGACGAAGTTAATGTTGATGTGGGAGACCACCATCTGCTTAATATTATGATGATCGAGTAGGATAAGCATCGGACGTTCGCGACACGGCTTGCTATAGGCAAAATAAAGAAGAAAGATTGGTGGTGCGCGCTGGGGAAAAAGGAATTAGTTATGATAAAGTAATGTTGTTGTTAGTAGGTCTCTCGTACGTACGATAATCGTATGGGAAGCAATCGTGTATTGGTGTTGTTCTATCTAAGTTCTGAGAGGCTACGTACCTTAAAGGGGATAACTAAAGTAGCCTTTTAAGTATAAGGGTTATACTTATTAATATTCACAGTTTTTCTTTTCTTTTAATAAGTATATATAATCCTCATTATAATTAGCCCAAAATTATAATTTATTATATATTAAGTATATATAATCTTTATTATAAAAAAGCATTATTAAAAAGGCTTAAAATTATAACTTATAAGTTTTAAAGCAAGTTTTAATAATCTTTATTTATTATATTATCTTTTAAACTTTATACTTATTATCCTTAATACTTAACTTTTAAGGTTGCTTCTTTATAAAAATCATTAACTTCCACATAAGGGCCTTGGTTTTAAATTTTTTCTTTATTAAGGAAGTTAATGCTTATAAAGTTAATGCCAAACTCTTTAATTTATATTCATTTTTATTATATATTTTTATAATATAAACATTATTATTTCCATCCTTACTTTCATTATTAAAATATAATTAATATTACTTTAAATTAACCTTCTTTAGCTATTTTTTATCTTTTTAAAATTAAGCATTATAAGCAATTTATTTATTTATTAACTCCTTTTCTTACTTTTTATTATTTTTTTTAATCTTCTTAATAATTATCTTTTACTTAAGTTACTTAAATAATAGCATATATTTCTTAATAAATCCCTTTATATATAAGCTTTATATATATTTATTAATAATTTAATACAAAAGGTTTTAAATTTAAGTTAATATAGCAATTTAGCTTTTTAATAACTTAATCTTTTTAATTTAATATATATAAAAAATATTTAAGATTAAAATTTCTATTAAGTTATTTATTATAAAAATTATAATAATTTAGCATTTAAAATAATAATTACCTTAATAATCCTTATTATTAAAAATACTATATAATTTTATATTAAAAGTTTTAATATTTTTAATATAAATATATAGCTTTTTAATTATATTATTAAAAGATATTTACTTATCTTAATATTAAAAGTTATTAATAATTTAAAGAATAGCTATTATAATAATATTATTTAAAAAAAGTATCTTAGCTTAAATTATAGCTATAGCCTTTAATTATTAATTTTAATAATTCCTTAAAAGTTTATTTTAATAAGCAGCTTATTCTTTTTAATGCTTAATATAATAATAAAGTTAAAGGTAATCTTTATAATCTTTATTAAGGTTTTATTAACTTAGTTTTAATTATCTTTATTATTAATAATAATTAAATTACTATTAATATTAAGTAAATAAAAGTTATTATTATTAATATCCTTATTTATATTTATTAAATAAATAAGTAAATAAAAGTTATTATTATTAATATTTATTAAATAAACGTTATTAGCAATAACCTTGCTATAAGAATTAATAAAATTAATAAGCTTATCTTTATCTTTATTAATTAAAATAATTTTAGCCCTTTTTATAATTTTAATAATAATTTTAATCTTTATCTTATTATTTATTAAGATTATAATTATAATATTTATTTTATTAATTAAGGTTATAATTATAATATTTATTTTATTAATTAAAGTTATAATTATAATGTTTATAAGGAAACCTTAATTTTATTTAAGGGTTATAATAAGGCTACCTTTAATATTAATTATATTAATGGTAGTTATAATAATAATTATATTAAGTATGTCTTTAATATAAATAATAAATATAATGTTTATTAAATAATTTTGCTTGCTATTATTATTCTTATAAGGCATATTAATAAAAGTATTAAATAATTCTTATAAGTTATTATTAATATTTTTTATTATAATAAAAAGGAAAAGATTTTATAGGAATTTAATAATTAAAATAAATATTTATAATGCAAAACTTTATAATTATTATATAATAATTATTAATTTATTCTTTAATTATAAAAAAAGTTAATAAGTTATAAATAAATTTAATAAAAATTAATTTTAATATTATTGCTAATAAATAATAATAAAAAAAAAAGCAATAATAATAATAAAGTTAACTTTAAAATAATAATTATTAATAATATTAATAATTATAAGGTTATCTTTATATATAATAAAGTATTAAAAAAATCTTAATTAAAATATAAAAGGTTAAAGTTTATATTAAGGGTTTAAGTTTAAAAGGTATAAGGTTTTATAGCTAGCAGCGGTAAAGTTAAAAGGAAAAGGTGCTAGCAGTAAATTACTCTTTTCTTAGCAAAAAGGGGCTACTTTAAGTTTTTTAATTAACTTATTTATTTATATATAAAGCTTATTATTATTAATAAGCTTTTATAATGCGGTATTTAAAGTTGGTTTTATTATTATATTAATAGGGTTATCTTTCTTATTTATTTACTTTACTTTAGCAATCTTTCTTATTTTATATAATTTTTATAATAATATAATATTAATTATAAGGCGCTTTTCCTTTATTATTTTTAGCTTTATAAGATATTTATATAAGCTATATAAGTTTATATAAATAATTAAAGATATATTTAGCAATAAAAATCATCTTATAATTATCTTAATTATTATAGCTAAGGAAATTTTAATATTTACTTTATTTACTATATTATAAATTTTACTTATTAGCATGCTTTAAATAATATATTTATACTTTATTAATAATTAATAAAAAATATTATCTATTATTATAAATCTCTTAATTTCCTTGCAAATTTTATTTATAAGGATAATAATATATTTAAGTTAAGATATTAAGTCTTGGTTATTTGCAAATAATTTATTTATAAATATAAAAAGTTTCGCTATTTTAAGATTTAAGGGTATATATTTAATTCCTTATATAGCGTTATTTATTTGCCATAATAATTATATATTTAGGTTCTTATAATTTCCTGCCTTTAAGTTTTATACTTATGCAGCTATTAAAAGATTATATAAAGCTTTTAATTAATAAATTAAAGCTATATATGCTTTGCAGGCTTTTTATTTAAGGTATTTTTAAGAAGCATCTTTAATTATTACATTAATAATTATAAGTTTATTAGCCTATCCCTTTTAATAAATAATAATTAAGCTAATAATATTTATAATTATATAAGCTTTATTATAATTTATTAAGTTTTTAAGCGTTAACTCTTATTTTAATTTTCTTTATAATTTTATAGCTTTTATTTTAATTTCCTCCTTATTTTAAAATTTTAATATAAATAAAATTAATATATTATTTATTTATATATTTATCATTTTAAAGAATTATATAAGCTTTATAATTATTAAGTAAGGATTATATATAAAGCAATTTATCTTAAGCTTTTGCTAATAATATCTTTAATATATATTAAATTAATAAATATTAAATTTTATTATATTATATAAAGATTAAATAATATAAATAATTATGCTTAAAGAGTATTTATTTTTTAATTTCTTTAATAACTTTATAAAAATTATCTTATATAATTCCAACTTTGCTTAAAAATAGGCTTAAGTAATATTTTAAAGTATAAGAATTATGCTTTTTTCTTAAATTAATAAGGGGGTAAATATAAGAATTATTTATTAACTTATTCTTTAAATAATTAAGCTTTGCATTAAAATTAATCCCTTTTTATTATTATTATAACCTTAAATAATAAATTAAGATTTCTTATATAATTTTATAATTTTACCTTTTACTTTTTATATTATGCAAAACTTAAAGAAATAATATTTATTATATTGCTTTATTAATTATTTCTTAATTTAAAAGATACCTTTAGCAATAAAGTTATTAATTTTCATTTTATTAAACTCTTTAAATAATAAGCTTAATATTATAATAACTCCGTCTTATCTTAATTTAATCATTAAATCATAATTCTTATTTTCTCTTTTTAAAATATATAATATAATAATATAGTTTTTTATCTTTAATAATAATAATTATATAATAAGTTATATTTAAGGTTTTATAACTAAGTTTTTTGCTTATAAAGGTTGCATTTCCTTATTATTATTTTAATAATATGGTTAGATAATTATTAACTTAAATATTATAGCTTTATTGTTATGAGCTCGGCCCCAAAGGAGCTGCAGGCTGGCTAGCGCCTTCTCCCATAAGCTGCAAAGCAGCAACCTTTTAACTAAGCCAAAAGGTACGTAATAATCCAAGCTCCCTTGGATTATCTAGCCACACTATATAAGGCTTGGGCAATAACCCAAGCCCATCACATTTATTTAATATATTTAAGGTTATATTATAGCCATTTATGGCAATAACTTTATATAAACCCTTTTATTTTTTTCTCTCTCTCTATATGCAAACTTTACATTACAGCAAGTATTTCATATTAAAAATAAATCCTACTTTAATGTTTAATGCGTTTTATATTTATCGTTTAGCTATAATTTTTTATAATATTTTTATAACCTTTAAAATAACTTTTGCTTATTTTTATATTAATAATAATAATAATAATTCATATAATACTTATAAGTAAGCGCTAAAAACTAAGAGTATAGGGATTAATTTATTTAATTTAGCAATATTATTAATAGCTTTTACAGCTATTTATAAAATAGCATTATCATTTATATTATTATGTAATTTAATATATAGGATTTTATATACTTATTTAAGGGCTTAATAATATTTCTTAACTTTCTTAATTAATTAATAAGCTTTTATAAGGACTTATTTATATTTAATCCCCATTATTTATGCCTTTAAATAAAACTTTAATAATGCAAAGTTTATTTTTATATTATATTTAATAATATTTAATAATCCTTAATATGTATTAATTTAAAGTATTTATAATATTTATTATATAATCTTTATAAATATTAATTTTAAGAATTTCGCTCCTTGGAAAGCAATAACCTAGTTTATAATATAAAGAACTAAGCGCTTATTTAAGTATATTACGTTAACTAAGATTTTATAATTAAATTTACGATTATTATATAACGTAAACTTAAAACGCTTAAATGCAAGTTTGTTTATTTAATAATAATAATATATTTTTTTAATCTTTATTATTGCTTATTTATTAATATTTAAATTACCAGCTTTCTTAAGCATTTAGCATAATTAATTTATTAATAAGTATTTAAAGCAATAATAAAGTTTCCTTATTTTTATCTTTAAAAAGAAATATATAACATTAATAATTTAGTTTAGGAAAAACCATAAGTAACCCTATTTTTTAAGTATTAATATAATAATTGCATTATTAAAGGAAACCATTTTATTTATAATATTATTATAATATACTTAAAGCTTATTTATATTTATTAAGTAAAGCAAGAATGAAGTTTATGCTTAAATAATATAGAAATTAATATAATTAACTAAGGTGGAAATTTTAATTATTTTAAGCAAATTAATGGTTATTTTATTATTAAATTTAACTTTAGCTTTTCTTATAATAATTATATTAATTTAATACTTTAAATCTTTTTATTATAATATAAGGAATTGCTTATATTTAGCTATAAATATTAATAATGCTCTTATATTTAATAAGATTCTTTAAAAATAAGTTTAATTATATTTATTTTTTAAGATAAATTAGTTAGTTGTAATAATTATTTTTATTTAAAAAATATTATTTTTAATAATTTAGTATATAAACGCTTTATTAGCTAGGAAATTAATATTTATATAATAAACCTCCTTATTAAGTTTTATTTTTATAATATAAATATTATTATTGCAATTATTATCTTAATCCTATTTATCCTTATATTTATAAAATTTATCTTTATTATCCATCTTACATCCCTTAAACTTGCTTAAAAAAGTATTAAAGTTATTATTATAACCTTTATATTTATATTATATTAAATAGCTTCTTTTTATTAAACGTTATTTATTAATTAAATATTTAGTTAATTAATATCCTTTCTTTTTATAAATATAATATTTTTTCTTTTAAGGTTATTTTCCTTTTCTTTTTTTGCAAGCATTATTACTTTAAGCGTTATAGCTAATACTATAAGATCTTAGCTACTTAAAGCTTAAATGGCTTAAGTTTAATTAATTAAATCTTTAATTTCCTTAAAATGCTTAAAACTATAATTATTATCTTTTTCTTAACTTTTAGCTATTATACTTATAATTAATATAATATTAATTTAAAACTTTATTTATAATATAAATTATAATTATATAACTAAGTTGCATTTTTATTGCAAATCTTAAATTTAAAAATAACTTTTTATATAATTAAGCTAATTTAAAAAGAGCTATTTTTAGCTTAAAAACTCCTTTATAAGCTTTAATTATTATTATTCTTAAGTTATCCTCCCTAATATAATCTTAGCTTAATATCCATTAATAAAATTATAGCTTATTAAACATTAAATATAAAACCTTATATAAGTTTTTATTTAAGTTTTATGCTTTTATTTTTATAAATATTATTATTATTTAATTTATATAATAATATTAATAATTAAGGTTTATATTAAAATACATTTTAATTTTAAAGTACGTTATTATAAATATATTAATTTAATTTATAAAATAAAGGTAATAAGCCTTAGCTTAATCTTTAAGCATTTAAGGAAAAACCGCATAAAATTAACTTAGCTAAATTTTAATATAATAATAAATATTAAAAAATATCTTTATCTTATTATTTAATAAGTTATATAAATCCTTAATATACTTATAAAAGTTATTAAAAGTTTTTATAAATTATATTAATTTTATTAAATTTAAACATTTATTAAGAATATATTATAAGAAAAGAGTTTTATATAAGTTATACTTTTTATTTAGCAAAGACATTTTTAAGGCAGCTTAAGGTTATGTTAAATATAATATATATCTTTAATATAAGCTTTATTTCCATCTTTCCGCTAATAATAATAAGCCTTGCTAGTTATATTAATTTTTAATAAATTATATTATTAGGTTTAAGTTTTATAATTATACGCCTAAAACTAGCGGCAATAATAAAAGTTATCCTAAGGATTATTTTCCTAGCAATTATTATTATTTAAAGCTTACTTATAATGCTTATAAAGGTTATATTTATAATTATTATAATAATGCTAAAGATTATGCTTAAACTACTTATAATTATTATTTTTAAAGTTATATACAATATTTATTTATGCTTAATTTTAAGGCTAATAAAGCATTGCAAAGCTTATTATTAATTTATTTTAATCTTTCCTTAGCTTAAGCTATAATAACTAATTATAATGCTATAAGTTAGTTATTATATCTTATATAAATACCTTGCATTTAAAGAAAAACTTTTAAGTATTATTAATAAGGATTTAATAATGCTTTAAATATTACCTATAACTATACTGTATAATTCTTGTAATAAGCAATGAAAAGATTATTATTATAAAGGTTTTATTATATATAGCTTGTTAAAGTACTTGCTAAATAAGTAATTAAGTATTTTATTAATGCTTTTTATATAAGGGCCGTAAATTATAATTTTAAGCTAATATATTTATAATAAGCTAAGTTAATTAAAGTTTAAGTAAGCATTTTATTAATTATATACCCTTTAATAAAAGCTAATAGCTTTTTAATATTATTAATTATGCTTATAGGTTTTTATAATGAATATTATAAAAAGTAAAATTAATAAAATAAAGAAATATTAATAAAATAAGTAATGTTTAAAAGTAAGTTAATAATAATAGTTTAATAATAAATAAGTTATAATTATTAAAAGGAAAAAGTTATTAGTTCCTTTAAGCCTTAAAAGCTAGGGCTTTTTCCCATTATTAAATCTTTGCATTAATTAAAAGCATAACTTGCGCTTACTTATAACATAATATTACGCCAGCCCCAATAATTACGATAATTATAAGCTTTATTTACCAACAAAACGGAGTTTTTATTAAGTTTTATTAAGTCCTAAAGGGGAGTTAAAAATAAGTTTATTTTAATAAAATCTTATGCATAATTAATGCATATCTCTTAAATAGCGATAAATATACATATAAATATTATAAAGAATGCTACTTAGTTTATTTAATCTTTGCAATATCTGCTTAGGGAATTTAATAATATAAGGAGGCTTAAAGAAGCAGTTATTGCTATATAGCGCTTATTAATAAAAAGAATATAATTTTTAAGTTAGGGAAATCCTTATAAAGTTGCCTCTTCTACCTTATTAATTTATAATGCCTATAACTATTAATTAATATTAATAAGTCTCTTATATATATAATAATCATATGGGAAGCAATCATATATTAATGTTGTTTTATCTAAGTTTTGAGAGGCTACGTGCCTTAGAGGGGATAACTAAAGTAGCCTTCTAAGTGCAAGGGTTGTACTTGCCAACAGTTGTCGAGCTATATAAGATGCGAGAATTCATCATGTAATAATTATTAACCTTTTAACCTTTTACTATGGAGTCTAATTTTGAACTGTCAAGGCTAGTTTGATAGTCTCCAGAGCATGCACAGGATGTGCTGCGAATTCAAGTTTGCTTTATCATAAGCCTGGTGCTACGGGCTGCAAACGGGCCTCAGGACAAACGGCAAACGGACCCCGGAGCAAACGGGCTTCTAGCTTAAGGGTAGCCCAGGGAGACGTTTTCTTAGGGGATCCCATAGAACCATTCTCTCCCCCTTACAATTCGCATCGAATGAACTTCTCTAGGATCTTCAAGGATCTGTACACTTGCAGTCAAAATTCTACAGGAAAGATACCTCTTCCTAAAAAGGTATAGACAATATGTATCTACAGGGAAAGTTTTGGGGATCCTTGCAAGTTATAAGGGGTAGACTACTGCAAACAAACTTAGCGTGCCCAGGCTGCAGGCGTCCGCCGAGCAAAGCTTGTCATAGACGTACTCCGGAGAGCGAAGCTTGTCATGCTCTGTTGATGGGCTAGGCCTAGAATGGCACCTCTCAGCTTGCGTGAGAAACGGGGTCCTTGGAACCGCGGCTTCACTGCTGCACCGGCGATCAGAGTGATTACTGACAACATGAGAGAGCTACGGCCTACATAGAGCAGTTCATTACGGACGGTTGAGTTTCTGTCGGGCCTGGGGCTGCCGTCTGTGTCAACTGGTGTGCATTCGACTTCCCTTGAACCCAGCGCCGCCTAGGGAACTCCGACACACTTCAGCCGGAACTTCGGTCTAGAGTGCCTGATAAAGGTCAGCCCGAGCCATTCTCTTCTTGGCAGGTGTTCGAACAGGTTGGTCGCTATCCTGTGCCTGCCCGGGCTGTGTACATGGTCTATTGGTCAATGATAATGGTCTCGTGCTGGTTTGAGCAGCCACTCCACAACCATTCGTCATCCAGCGACTCCTTCCAACCTAGCTTGATAACCCTCCCTGGTTATTTGATCCTTTCGGCGAGCGGGGAAGGGTTGGTGGTGCTGTGGCGTCTGGATTCAAGTCATGACATTGGTAGATTAGCGATATGGCCATGACGAGGTTAGCCCCCCGGAAGGCAGGGGCCGGCTGGAGCAACCCAGGAGCAACCCCGGTTTGGGCCAGCACTTCTGGCCCGTGCTTGGAAAGCTTATCTGGTTCTCAACCGGGGGTTCAGGTTCGTGTAACTGGGTGTGACTTGGGGAAAGCAAGACGGTCATATATAACTACCACGTCGATCGCGCCGAATCTCTGGTTCTGCCCTGTTTGTCCGCTCTCTCCTGCATCTCGTGCCACCGAATCCAATCCAATTGGCCTGTTCGGTATCGCATTGAGGCTACGGGAGCTCTTGGCGCTCCCTTGGCTACTTCAACATGCCGTTTAACATTCGGAAGCCGTTCGCGCGGCGGACGACTGACCACCCCGTGATCGAAGAGAATGTGCCCGGCAACGTCAACCAGGTCGACGCTGATGGGAAGGCTGCTCCCCACACCGACAACTCTGGCCAGGACGACGGTGCTATCTCTTCAAGCGTCGATCAGCTGAAGAAGTTCAAGAAGACACATCAGTGGGACTACAACCTTGACTATGACACCATCGTACGTTCTTCTACCCTTGTGTGCGAGTATCCGATTGCTCGCCAATGCCGCCCATGATTGCTCGTGGGCGGCAATGTGACCCAAAACAGGATCACAGCAGGCTAGGCAACAGCAAACACTTTCAGATTCTGTCTGCAGCGCGATCAATGGCAAACGCTTTCAAACGAGTCGCGAGCGTTCTTGGTGCTGACCGATGGACAGGACGCTGCCACCAAGGTTGCTGAAACCGATGATGTCGAGAAGAAGGCCAACTTCGAGCATGCCTTGCTCGAGGAGGACTCGCCTTACTTCGAAGTCAGGGCCACGGTTCGAAACTACGACGAGGAAATGCCTGCAAACACCATCAGAGCCTGGATCATTGGCCTTACTGCGACCACGATTGTCTCTGCCGTCAACTTGCTGTTCTCTCTTCGCAACCCCTCAATCAGCATCTACGTCTACGTCGTGCAGCTGCTCGCGTATCCGGTCGGATGTGGCATGGCTCGTGTAAGTCACTGCATCTCCTCTCAGCATAACTTGAAAGATAGGATAACTCACAAGTATTCACTGCAAAGGTCCTCCCGAACCATCAGTTCAATACGTTCGGCTTGAAATGGAACCTCAACCCCGGCCCCTTCAACATGAAAGAACATGCCATCATAGTCATGATGTCGTCGGTATCCATTCAGGGAGGCGTCGCCTATGCCACTGACGTCCTCCTGGCCCAGCAAGTCTTCTACAAGCAGAATTTTGGCTGGGGCTTCCAGATGCTCCTCGTGCTCACGACACAATGTGTCGGCTTCGGCATGGCAGGAATCGTGCGCCGATTCTTGGTCTGGCCTGCCGCCATGATCTGGCCCCAGACCTTGGCTCAGACGGCTCTTATGTATACCCTCCACGATCACAAACCGACCGATCCCGCCACGTCCAACGGATGGAGCATTGGCAGATACCGGTACTTCCTCTACGTCTTTGCCGGGAGTTTCACATGGTACTGGTTCCCCGGTTGGATCGCCCAGGGCCTCACCTATTTCGACTGGATTTGCTGGATCGCGCCTAATAACATGGTTGTTAACCAAATCTTCGGCAACAATGCCGGCTTCGGCCTTGTAAGTGGATCCATAATCAAGACATTCTTCCCCGAGCACTACCATCTGTCGGGCCACAGCTGACCGGACAGCTCCCAATCACATTTGACTGGACTATCATGACTGCCTTTATTGGCAGTCCCCTACCCTACCCACTGTTCTCTATCGTGAACACGCTCATCGGTGTCTTCATCTTCTTCTTGGTGGCCGGGCTTGGCGTCTTCTACACCAACACATGGTGGGTTCAGTACCTGCCAATCGCGAGCGTAAGTCAATCGCCATTATGATTCCCCCCTCCCGCACGCCAAGCCACTCACTTATGTATGTGACCAATTCAGACACACTCTTTCGACAACACCGGTTCGGCGTACAATGTGACAAAGGTCCTGACCCCCGAGAAGACACTTGATGTCGCCGCTTACAAGCAGTACTCGCCTCTCTTCTTGGGGACGTTCTTCTCCCTCACCTACGGTGTCTCTTTTGGCGCCCTATCATCCGTCATCGTGCACACCATCATTTTCCACGGTCCCGAGATCGTCGAACGGTGGAAGCTGGCGCGAAACCAGGACGCTGACGTTCATCTTAAGATGATGCGCAAGTATAAAGACACACCAAATTGGTGGTACTATGCATTGTTTGCTGTCTTGTTCGCCTTGTCCCTCGTCACCGTCCTGGTCTGGGATACCCATCTGACGTGGTGGGCGCTGATCGTTGCGTTTCTGCTCTCCATTGTCTTCCTCGTCCCTATCGGCATGGTCCAGGGCATCACCAACACACAGCTTGGACTCAACGTGCTGACCGAGTTCATTGTTGGTTACATGCTCCCGGGACGGCCAATTGCCATGATGCTCTTTAAGACCTTCGGCTATATCACGATGGCTCAGGCTTTGTACTTCATTCAGGATATGAAGTTCGGGCACTACCTCAAGGTTCCGGTAAGTTCCAGTCGAATCGTCCAGTTCACTTCCACCATTCCGGCCATTGCTAACTGGACCGCCTCTCTTCTCCCCCGTCAGCCGCGTATCACGTTTACGGCGCAAGTCGTTGCTTGCGTTTGGTCCTGCATCGTCCAAGTTGCCGTATTCAACTGGGCTCTGGGCACTATCCCGGGCATCTGTGAATCGGACCAGCCCAACGGCTACACCTGCCCTGGTGCTAGTGTTTTCTACACTGCATCCGTGGTCTGGGGTGTCATCGGCCCGGCGCGCGTGTTTGGCGCCGGTGGCATTTACTCGTCTCTCCAGTGGTATTGGCTACTCGGCGCTGCACTTCCCGTCGTTACCTGGTTCCTCGCGAAACGCTTCCCGCGTAGCAGCATCCGGTACCTGCACTGGCCGCTTATCTTCGGCGGTACCGGCTGGATCCCGCCGGCTACAGTGTATATCTACCTGTGCTGGGGCGCGGTTGGCGTCTTCTTCAACGGCTTTATCAAGCGCCGTTTCAGGGGCTGGTGGGCACATTACAACTACATCACGTCGGCGGGCCTCGACACGGGCTTGTACATCTGCACGTTGCTCATTTTCTTTGCGCTTATCCTGCCCCAGAAGGTCAGCCCTCCGCAGTGGTTCATGAACCCGCCCGCCGATGGAAACCCGAACATCACCAACGCCTTCAACAATCTGGACACACAGGGCGCTTCTATTCCACTGACCGTCGCTGACGGGGAGACGTTTGGGCCAACTACCTGGAAATAGACGTGCTCTGAGGAGTTTGGGGTGATGTCTATTGTTCGGAAAGGCACTACACAAAACTTGACCCGCCTAATCGCAGTTGAAGGCGCGGTACCATCGACCTTTTGCGCCGAGTCTACTCTTGCACTTGTTGGGAGATGGTGAAGACGTTGCTGGAAAGTTGCTAAAGTTTACGGGCAGATTGTTAAGCCATTCACTGTGCTAGCATTTAATAGGGCTCCTCGACTTAGTAATGAGAAAAGCATTCGCCATCGCAGCCTACCGGTTGGTTTTAAATGCACATATTGATACGAGAAGGGGGCATTATAAATCGCGAACCTTGAACGTTAGTAGGCCCATGTCTCGCCAAGGACATGCACGAGTAAGGACCGTCCTATGGCTTCTAAGAACGGCTCATGCCGCCCCGATTAACGGCGTCGTTACTTAAGATAAGCATGGTATCCAAGACGACGTGTCATGTTCAGCATCTTGACAGCGGTCTCGGCTTTTTCTCTCTGGCCCGGGCCTCAAGGTGCGCACCAGTTCACTGTGCAAAACGACCAACGCAGAATAAACTCGAAAGCCGTCTCTTCAACTCGCTTCAGCACCGTGGGCCATGAAAGGTCTAAGACTGCGATGCAGCCAGAAAACAACCAAGGGCTGCCGAACTTTCGTCAACTATCACCCGAACCACCGCAGCCTTGTGGGGTTCAGCACATCTGGAACGAGCCGCTCAAGGGCCTCGCTCCTCGACACATTGCACTATGTGTTCTGGATTTCTTCACCCCCGAGATTCTGTCTCGCCGCACAAAGCCAAGAGGCCGACTCATTGATGAGCAACCCAAAACTGCCTGGCTCGACGGCCTGCGGGGCTGGGCCGCCCTGCTCGTCTGCGTCTTCCACCTAACGCTGTGGACACACGACGGCATCAACTACTGCTACGGCGCCATCCTGCCCTCCGGCGCCCCCAACGCCACGCCCGCCGCCTGGCCTGTCATTAGGACGCTCTGGACGGGCGGGCACTTCTCCGTCGCGCTCTTCTTCACTATCTCTGGTTACGTGCTGCCAAAGCGCCTGCTCTCCCTCCTCCACGCGGGCCGTCAGGCCGACTTTGTCGAAGCGCTCCACTCGTCTGTCGTCCGTCGTCCGTTTAGGCTTTTTCTCCCCGTCGTCTGGAGCACACTAGCCGCCATGGTGGTGTCGTATCTCACGGGCATCCCGACGTCTGCCATGAAGCGCGAGGACAGCATGCTGCTCCAGCTGCTGGCGTGGGTGAGGGAGACAGGGCGATACCTCTACTTCTTCGACGGCGGTTATCATGCCGTGAATCAACACACGTGGTCCCTTGTCGTAGAGATGCGCGGCTCCATGTCGCTGTTTGTGTGGCTTTTTGCCCTCTCGCGGATGCAACACAAGAGGCGCTTCTTTCTGACACTGGCCATGATTTGGTACCTGATCGTCGCGGTCCCGGCTGCCCAAATGGCTACATTCTTTGCAGGCATGGTCACGGCGGAGCTTGACCTGATTTCGTCAGGTGCCGTGCAGATGCGTCTTCCCTGGGATGGGCTAGTGCAGGCGGTGGGCAGGCATACCCTCGTGCGGACGTCAGTTTGCCATGCCGCCCTGGTCGGTGCGTTGTACCTCGGGGCCTCGCCTTCTGGATCCCCTGTGGGCTCCTCGAGGGGCGAGGTGCTGGGAATATGCCGTGGCTGGATGACCCTTGAGTGGTTGATTCCAGAGGCTTACCCTCGCGACGGCGACGATCCCAGCTGGCTATGGTTCTGGTTGTTCTGGGCTGCGTGGATCTTTCTTCTAGCTGTTAAGGAAATCGGTTGGCTGAAACGCGCTCTTGCGAGTGGCTTCTCACAATGTTGGTCACTGGCCCCGATCGCCTCTCTCTTCTCCGGGTCCCCTTTGCTGACAAGTTCTACAGATCTTGGAAGGATCTCTTTCCCCCTCTATCTAACCCATGGACCCATGATTGGGTTCTTCTCGGAGCGTCTTTTTTACCTGACGGGCGTCAAGAAAGACATGGACGAAGGCGCTATATCCTTGTTTGGCTCTATTGCAAATAAATGGCACGATGCCAGCTGGTTCCTGTTCACTGACCAGGGGCCGTACGGGCTAGAGCCGAATTATTTATTCTGCCTCGCTTTAAGCATTGTGGTGTTTTTATACGTGGCAGAATTGGCTGCCAAATCTATTGAGGCCCCCAGTGTACGCTTCTCGAGATGGGTTTACGGTCGATATTTCAAAGGCAGCTGAACAGCCTTTGAAATGGACTGGGATGACGAGATGAGCGTGGTACCTCCATTACCACACATCCTGGAGCTACCTGTCTTCCGAAGGTGGGGAAAAAAAACCCTGGCCCACAGTCCAGCGAAGTGATCAAGGAGATAGAAATTCAAACCAGGATCAATCTGATACTGCTTGAGCAGGTCGTAGTGGCCCTGATACGACGGCGCTGTGATTTCGGATCGGACGGCCATGGTAAACGACGCTATCTTCTAGTTTGCAATCATGAGCTGTGACGACTCAAACAGCTCGAAAAACCTTTCTGTCTATGTGTAATGCCTGAGCCTCAAAATAGGCCGCATCTACCACCGAGCACACCGTCCGCTCTACTGTACATGTCCCATGGCGCCTAGTTCTCGCAGGTTTAAGCAGGCGGCTTACGGCCGATTGCAATGTTGATGCGGTAGGTGCCGCCCTCTTTTGTGAACTCGTCTGTTGCTCGCTCCGGGAGCTTGTCTAAGACCGAGTCGGCAACATCAACATTCATCACTGCAGGTGTCGAAAGCGACGAGGTCAGCGGGGAACGGAATGAATGAAACAACAAGGGGTGGAGGTCAGCAGCTAAACGTACTCTTGTATGCGCCAGCTATACCCGTGGCTGCAGCCACCAAGACCTGCGCGCTGCGATCGCCCCACTCGGCGTCCTTGCTGCTGGGCCCCATGGGAACGTGGATGGGTACCTCTTGGACGCTCTCGAACCCTTCCTCTTTGAGCCAGCCAGCCATGTCGTTCGCAAATGTGGCTCCAGGCCCGGCGTCTGCACGGGAAAGAAGCTTGGCATGATGTCGTACCCAAGGAGAGTGTAAGGCTCGGTCAGGAGTGGCTGGATCTCCCGTAAGAACAGGCCATCGGCTGTGGCCGAATCAAGGATCACCAGGCCCGGCTTGTTCAAATCGACCGGAGCCACAATGCGCTTGTTGTCCATGAAGTGTGTGATGACAGCATCTTGCTCCGTCAGGCGCGCAACCTCCTTCTACGGCTCTAGTAACAGGTACTCAGGCATGTTGGCTGTGCTTTGCTCCTAGTTTTAGCAGTGTTTTTTTTTTTTTTTTTTAAGATCCAGAAACGCGGGTGATGAGAGTTTGAACCAAAAAAAAAACAAAAGGGGAAAACAGCCAAGCGCAAGGCACGTTAAAGACATTATAGATACCTAAATAACATACCAACAGGTGAATCCTTCAGTTCAGGGGTCAAACGGGCAAGATCCTACCGCAGTCAAGAGCCAATCACATGCTTGGGTCGATTTCAAATGTCTGTATTCAACCAACAGCTGCAGGCGAAATGCTCATGTTGGTGTCTCAGTGTACGCCTAAACTCAACCCGGCGTTTGTTTGCTTTCACGGCAGTCACCTGACTTGGCGTCTGTTTCTTGGTAGACTATAGGGATTCTGCCTGACGAGATTTAGGCAGATTGCACTAACACCGCGGGCGCCTGGGCACTATCCGTTCTAGGACTAATCTCATGTCCTTCAAAATATGATAAATGCTCGTGGCTTTGCTTCAAGCTCTTCAGGATATGGAAATTCAATTCACAACAAAGGCAGACTTCAACATGACTAGCCGTCCGCAGTACGTCGCTGACTGTCCTTTGGGTGGCAGATGCGACCTCGGCGACTTGGTCGGATCCGAATATGCCGCAGATGCAGACGATGGCAGCATGCAGGATCATTGGCCACGAATCCCGCCAAGTTATGGCCCTCCTCCTACGCATCTAGAGAATGCAGTCAAAGAAGGTTCCTGTGCTCCGGTGTCTGGCTCGTGGAGACGTGCTGACATGGGTACAGTTGGCTATATCACCCTTCTTTTGGCAACGTTCAGCATCCCAGACAACTGTAGTGGAGACGTCCGCTGCATCTCCGATCTTTTGCTCTCGCTTGAGACTCGCGACGACATCACGAAGCTTGTCCTGGACTACACTTCGTTTGAACTCGCCCTCCGCCGCCTAGTAGCGAAGGGAGTGGACTTTCCGGAGAACGACGCGTCGAAAATTGCCTCCCGTGCAACCGCTCTCAAGCAACATTGGGAGAAAACCGGGCAGGACCATACCAACGGCCCACAAGACGTCGCCTACCCACCACTGCTGTCGGCCGTGCCCGATAAGCCCAAGGACTGGAAGCTTGAACTCGGCGACAAGGCCAGGGAAGAGGCTGAAAGGTACTACCACGCCCTCAGAACGCAGCGTAAGTACGCCCAACGTTGCTTCCAGGCCAAATCACCCATGCCCATGGCCTGGGTGCCACAGGGCGGTGACGCGTGGGCGAAGACGGCCCGCACCAAGGTTGAGTCCGGCGACTTGTTTCACAGCCGCCACTGGGCCCCGGTGTGGATGAGCTTTGATCTGGCCTCTATCGATGTGATGTTTGGTATGGAGACGGCAGGAATGACTCAGGACGAGAGCGATGAGTACTATGACGCCTCTGGGACAGTGTCAGGGATGAGGGCCCTGTTCGAGGGCAGAGACCTCCGAAGCGAGGATGTTTTGAGAAGTTGAAATGCAAAATGGCTGGTCAAAATACGGACAACGGCGCTTTTATTCAGAGGCTATCAAGATAATCATTACTGCGCAAGCCTGAGTTAAGTGCGGCGTTGCCGGACATGGAGTCTCCAGCGGTCGGATCTCCGCAGGCGTCGGTTGATAGGGTGCCAGATGGGAGGCAGAAGGACGTGCAAAAGACGTATATAACCGTTGTATGTCCAGTCTATGAATGGAGTGGAGTGGAACAAAATCAGCAAGTAGATGAGACAGCGCGTAACGAGGTTTGGTTCACGCATGCGTTCAAGCGAAGGACTCAAAAGTGCTCATAAAGACGGAGCACTTTTGGCGGTGAAAGGGACCGAACACTAGTCGCAGATATTACAAGAGGGCTCTTGGAAGGTCTGTTTTCACTTCGGCGCTAGAATCCCTCGTAGCCGATTCAGTGAGAAGGTTGTCAATTTGACCCGCATTTTGACCCCGAATACGCAACGTCGGCTCAGCTGCAAGATTCTCTAGGCAGTCTGGTGTAAAAAGGCGTGGTCAATGGCGAAATAGGCAAATCTGGACTATGGGAGGCGGAGTCTCGGTCAAGTGGTATGGCACGCATTGACTAGCCCTTCGCGAGCCGATCGCCGGCCATGCAAGCGCCAAATTCCTTGTTTGGGGGAATTGACAGCCCTGGATGACATGGCATTGGGCTTGGACTGTTACCTACTTAATCAATAGCCGTGGAGACAGACTGATGCCCGTGGCTGAAGCACAGCCACCACAACTCGGCGGCTACAGGGCAGCTGAATAAAGTGGCTTCAGGTGCCTTCAAATGCCAGTCTTTTCTTCTCATGTCCCTTGATAAAGTTAGGAAGCCTCGCATAATCCCGTGGTCCTGCTTCTAACGTTTGTGTCACCTCACAACTTGCTATCCTCGCTGAAGCAAGCAATACGACTCCGGCGCGGCGGTTATGGACCCCGTGACGATCGTCGGGCTTGCAAGCTCCATCATCTCAATTATAGACTTCGGCTCCAAATTTCTGAAGAAGTTATACGAACTTCATAAACTCGCTGAAGACGGCCAAGGTCTTGACGATCACAACACAAGCATCAAGACAGCGATAGAGACGGTGGGCTCAGCAATAAACTGAGCTGTCCTTTCGACCATGCCTCTGCTGAGGAAAGTGAAATGGCAAAGTTGGCTCATGACTGTCGAAAGGTTCGCCGACCAGCTTTTGACAATCCTCAAGAAGTTGGAGATTGACGTTGGTCAAGACCGCAGCCGGCTGTCGACTTTGAGACGAACCATTAGATTGGTATTTTATAAGGAAGAAATCGAGAGACTCCTGAGAAGAATTGACGTACTGCGTAACGCAATACATCTGTGTCTCGCGAATAGCATCTAGTAAGTCTGCTCTTTTTTCGTTTTCGATACTGCATTGGTCCTTGCAAGCAGGCTTTCGAGCGACTACTACCTGGCAGGTAACTAACTATAATTGATATATGAAACCGCACGCAATCTCGGGTCGTTCAAATGATACACAACCTGTCAGCTCAGAACGCGAAGCTGGGTACAAAGATGAGCCAGGATCTTGACTTGATGAGAGCGGAAATCAAGGGGTTCATGGATCAATTCAGACGCGGCTCTGCTAGCGACGAGAATGCCGGAGCCGAGCTTGTCAACAAGCTTTCAATCCTTCGTTCGGGCTGTGATTTTGTGGCTCGAACGAATGCCGTCCTAGGCAGTCTAGGGTACGATACAGTCCCAAGTCTTCTACTCCCGCTCTGCGCCGCTGGCTCCCATCTGGGGATGGCATTTATTGGATATCTGGAAAACCAGGATCTGGAAAATCGACGATTGTCAAATGGATTTTCGGACAAGAGGAGACGCTTCGTCTTCTCCAAACCTGGGCCGTCAACAAGATGCTGGTGGTTGCAACCCATTTCTTCTGGAGTGTTGGTACAGATATGCAAAAGTCTCAGGAATGCCTGTTGCGGTCTTTACTTTTCGAGGCTCTTCGAGGCTGCCCAAACCTGATACCTCGTGTTGTTGAAGACCGTTGAGATGAAGAACCGGGGCTCTCTCGCCACCGACCATGGACCATGCGTGAATTACGACAGTGCTTCACCCGGCTGGCTGCTGCAGACGAACACTCGGTTGCTTTCTGCTTTTTTGTTTTACGGGTTGGATGAGTACTCAGGAGAGCACGACGAAGACTACGAAGAGATCATTGGTATTTTGCAAGCCGTCGCAGAGTCTCGGCATGTGAAAATATGCGTCTCTAGTCGTCCCTGGAACGTCTTTCAAGCTGCTTTTAGTCATCTCGTCAGCCAGCGGTTGAGGCTCGAACATCTCACGGACGGCGACATTCGTCTTTTCACTCGGGAAAGGTTGGGCCAGAATCCCAAATTCCAGAAACTGGCGGAGAGCGAACCACGGTGTGAAACATTGGTCGACGAGATAGCAGAAGCCGCTGACGGTGTTTTCCTCTGGGTTTTCCTCGTCGTCCGATCGCTTCTCCAGGGACTTACGAACGCAGATCGATTGTCCAACTTGCAACGGAGACTTCTTCTGCTGCCCAGGGATCTTGAAAAGCTCTACCTGCATATGCTGAACACCACGGACGAGGTCTATCATGAAGAACAAGCACGCTTCTTTACGATAGCACATCACCCCACAGCCCCTTGTCCCTCACAACTTACTCATATATAGACGAGGAAGATCCTAGGTTTGCCTTGGATTCCGGTTCGGAGCCGGAGCCGACGGCGGAGAGATTAGGTCGACTCATACGTACCAAAATCCGATTGAATGCCCAATGCAATGGCCTGCTCGAGTGTATATCGACACCGAAATCAGCCGACGCCGATCGAGTCCTAGAAATGACAACCGGGCGCGCCAAAACGATATGTGTCACCAGTCTTATTGTGAAAAGGCTACGAAGTCCGCTTTCTACATCGAACCGTACGTGACTTTATTGCAACGCAAGAAGTCGGTAAACTCCTTTCTTTGCGGTGTCCCCCGGACTTTCAACCGTCGGTCCGTGTTTGCCTCGCTATTCTGGCGGAGGTCAAGAAACTGGACTTTTCTATCGCAGACGAGCGCCTCAAATTGATCCTGTCTCACCTGCTGGGCCAGATCGCACCATATTTGCGGGAAGCGGAATTGAAATACTCGACACCCATGGTGGATGTCCTGGCTACTCTCCAAGACACTTTCGCCAAAATATCGCCAGAAGTCACGGCGGCGGTACTCGAGAGTTCGAACCCTGAAACGCTCAAGACGATTTCCACAAAGTGTGGTCAGTTGGGCTTCCAGACCACGGCGGGGGTTTCGAGGAGAGTCATCCTACAGTGCAAAGCCTCGGGATTCAGCTACTTTGTCATTCAGAGCCGATTGCTCCTCTATACTCGACATAAGCTTGAAACAGACTGGGCTACTCATGATATGGCGGATCTGGTTTTCTGCGCGCTGTTGCCCTCGGCCAAGCATTTGTGTGTGACACACACCCCAGAGGAGGAACTGGCCATGCTAGAGACCTTACTCGACCACTTTGGGACTTCAGTGCTTTGGGACAGTCCGCGTGTCACAGGGACTCGTACTCACCAGACGTTTGAAAGATATATCGCATCGAGAAGGCTCATCTTTCTCGGCGTCGTCACGGACATCTGGAGCAACGCAGATACGGAAATTGTTGCCAGGAACGATTTGATTGTTCGGAAAATGACGATATGTCTCAAAGCTGGGGCCGACCCAGACGTCAGAGAACTGGGGAATAAGGCCTCTCCACCTATGTTGGTGCGGCTTTTGAGGACGGCAAGCTCTATGGGCGGGCTCCGTTCAAGACCTCAAACGAGAGTTTACAGGATTATAGAGCTGTTCTTGAAGCATGGAGCGAACTCGCGGAAGGTTTCAAAGCGTGATCGTCACATGTCTTTGTTCACTCTCCGTCGGTATATCTATACCAGCTTGGATGATGGATGATGCCTGGCAACTAGCCATGAGGTTTGGGTATATTCACATTGAGTCTCCGCCGGAACAGGATCCAGAGGCGATTTCAAGCAACATGGACATGCCTTGGGTATAGAAATAGCCGGGCAAACTCTCGTCGCTGGAGGGAAGTGGAAAGATCTTTCTGATATCTACTGTATCTTGAATTAGCTGATCTATGTGACTGACGTACATGTGTGCCGCCACCAAAACAACCCGAGGCCATGGCCCTTCAGCGTAACTGTCTAAGGTCACAGTTAATCCCATTCACCAACACTTCGCCTTTTGGGAAACGCTCAAGATTAATAGCCAAAGTTTCCGGGCATTGTTAGTGCAACTTCTCAGTCCTCAGCTAGCCCGAGCACATTTCCAGAATATCCTTAATTTGCTGAGCCTGAACAAGCGGAATCACGTTGGCATGACAGAAGCTATCCGCCAGACTGTTGCGCGCCAATCGATCCCACTGCCCCCTGCCTACACCCACTGATTCAAGAGTCCTAGGCATATCAAGCTCGTCAAATATCGCCCGGAGCATGTCGCCCGCGTCAACCTTTCCCTCGACCAGCCCGCGCTTCTCCAACACCTGAGCCACCTCGGGCTCCGACCACAACGTATCCATAACGATTTTCTGGCGCTGCGAGTTGGCCGACGCGTTGTACTTCATGACCGACGGAAGAAGTACACAGGACGTCTGGCCGTGGCCAACTCCCAGTGGCCCCAGATTATGACCAATGCCATGTGAGGCACCACACGGAACAAACATTGTCAAGCCTGTCATAGCCCTATTGCAGCCCAGTTGACTATCAAGCCGCGCCGCCATGTCGTCTGGCTCCTTGGTGTACCGGAGCAGCGACCTGGTCAGTAGACCGAGCCCTTCCAAGCACGCATCGTCCGACTCTGGCTTTGGGTGGGAGGAGCATATGTTTTCGACGCAATGGTCTATGGCCCTGACTCCGGTGCTGCGCCAGACCCAGTCCGGCGTCGAGCGGCACAACTCGCCGTCTAGAACGAGAATCTTGGCAAACATGCCAGGATGCGTGAACTGGACCTTCATCTGGTTCGTAGGATTGGTACAGCCCGCAAACTTGGAGAATTCGGCACCAGACAGTGTCGGTATGAAGACCAGCGGGATTGTCGGGGCGTTGCCCAGAGATGAGCCCTCGCCTCGAGAAACGGCTTCAAGGTCCAGTTTCAAATAAGAAGCTTCGAGGCGGACCAAATCCCCCACGCTTTCGACGCCATTTGCGAGAGCATAAGTGAGCAGTTTGGCTCCGTCTGCTAAACTGCCACCCCCAAGGGTGGCGATACAGTCGGCCGCTTTCTCTCGGATGTCTCGTAGGATTGGAATCAATGCATCATATGGTGTATGGGCTGGTATTCCCATCCACGTCCCCACATGGTGATCGTGCAGAGCGTTCTCCAACTTCACGAGACTGTCCGAGTGGGAAGCTAGTCCTTTCGATGCCACAATATAAGTGCGTCGGCAACCGAGGGTGCCGATTATGTGCCTCGCGGCAGCCTTGTCGAACGGTAAGCCGTAGGATACCACTGGGATGAGCCGTCAGAATATGTTTTCAGGTGACCGTTGATTGAGAATTGTTTGCGAACATACTTGTTGGAGGGCGAAGCGATGCAGGGACATTTGGAAAGGCTGGTCGGAAGACCTCCTCGTTGGATTCAACACTCATCTTAGAGTGACAACTGGTTCGGAGTACGAGACTTTCTTGGATCGATCCAAGAAGTCTAGGGATTTTTTTCCAACATTTTATACCTGTGGACCGGATATCCTGTAAATAACTTCCGTCTAATCGCCTGGTTGGCATACCCTGCATAAGCTGGGTCATGAACTCGGCGCCGAGTCGGCTGACGCTTGGCGGCGACCCGGCGCCGTACCGGCACCGTACCGGTAGAGAAGCTTCGGGATTGCTGGTTAGACTACCTGTGTACCTGCGGTGAAGTCGGGCTGGCCGGTCCCGATCGCCGAAGACGGGGGCGTGCTTGGATGTCCAGGTGAACGACAGGTTTTCAGTCAGGCGCATGATCGTCTAGACTCCGAGATTTTGGGACGCACCAACTTGCCATCCAAGTATTATACCTAGGTATTTTTTACTTCACCTAATCTATCCTTTAATCGCTAGATAAATCCAGCTGTACTATAGTGCAAAGAACCACCACTACTTCCCCCTAAAGCAAACGCAATGGGTGTTCCTGGAGCTGTGTGCCAGTCGCTACCCTGTTCTGCGATGTCCTTCAGTGATTGCCGCGGTGTGCCATGGTAGACTATCGCTTGGACAAGCTTCCAGGCCGTCTCAAGCACCAAGTCGTTCTCATCTGCTAATAATCTCTCCTTCATCAAAGACCCTCTTTTCACTGACAAATTCTCAAGAAGTTCCTCAACGTCGATCTGTGCTTCGTTTTCCACATCCGAGGCAACGCTCACATCGGTCGCGTCGCTGGTAGCGTTTGACGCGCTCTCAAGGGATGATGTCTCATCGCCAGAGTCTGCGCCGGAACCTGAACTGCGTTCCCGTCCGATAGCCTGTTCAGGCACATTGTTTCCGTTTTCAGAAACTTCAGAGGTTGAGTCCGTAAAGCGTTGTGTTTGGAATTTCTCGAATGTGAGGTCCCCGCTGGCCAGGCAGTCCTTGAGTTGTGAGATCGCCCGCGGAGTCGAAAATAACTTGCGGCTCCCTGAGACTCTGGCGGTGGTGCGATACATTCAAGAAGCTGGTGTGCGTACATGGCGTCGTGTTAAAATCGTCGTCGACAAACCGTGTGGATAAGACATCTTGCCACCGCTCCTTGAGAAGAATGCGAGTTCTTCGCGTGGCGTTGGGTTGCTCGTTCTCCGAGGCACCAGGGGCACACTCATCGTCACTCCTGTTCCCGTCGTGTTCATGTGAGAGAACACGAGCCATGGTATGAACAAGATTCCACCCGTGAAAATCTCTACTTCGAAAGTGATGGAGGCCCCAACGCTTTCTCCACTTGACGTATTCTTGTCGTTTGGCGAGGACGCAATATCTGAGAAGGTTATCCTGGGAGAGAACTTCTCGCACTACCCTTGAATCCTGGTAAGCTAGACACATTGAAACTGTCGAGATCGGGACCATGTCTCGGCCCTGACAAAAAAATGCGCACTCACAAACTGCGTCACTACTAACACTTCAGCCCAACACCCTCACTTCTCAAACTGATTTCCTTTCCGAAAGAATTTCTGAAAGCATCAAAACTTCGTTAGATAATATTTTAGAGGATTGCGAATTGAATGGTGTACGCTAATTTATGTATCCAATTTAGTAATCATACCGCAGAAGCCGTGTTGTGCAGCAGAGTTTGTGAGTGCGCGTTTTTTTGTCAGGGCCGAGCATGTCTTCCTCCAGCTGCCGCAGCTCCTTCCAAACTCTGATGCGCATGTGTGATAGTGTCTCAAAACTTAACTGAGAATAACATTCCACACAAACGGCTGACCCACAGATCGGGCAGGCATAGGCCTCCCTTCGCAGGCTACGACGGCACAAGAAACAGGACAGTACTGTGTTCGAGGCTGCAAGAAGGATCCTCCATTCCCTGAGTATCTCGGCTTTTTTTACCGGCACAGCTGTATGGGTCTTTTGAGCCGGGAGACATGGCGGTATGAATGATGGCAGGGCCAGCCTGAACAAAAGTGAACGAAGATTCCGAAGATGCCACCTCACTTCATTCACCCGAAGGCCATCATAAAGGGCATTACGCCTGCAGTCAGCTACTGCCCGTGCAGACCGGCTTACACATTTTGCAAGGGCAAAAAGCCGGTCGTTGGAACTTTGAGCCATGCCATGCATAGGCGAGATAGATCGCCAAGGTCTCAGGACATCCATCATAGCGGAGTCGTTGACACAATAGTCGAAGGCCGAAAAGCCCATGGCGTCGCGCAGGTGTGGGTTCGCTCCTGCTTTGAGCAAACGATGGGCGACGTTCTAATACCCATTTTTGACGGTCAACGACAGCGGCGTACGTAGGAATGCGTCGGTTTTGTTGACTTCTGCCCCCAGACTCAGGAGCGCATCCACTGTTTTGATGCATCCATTCCCCGCCGCACCAGCTAATGGCGTATCGACAAAGTGCCCCATTCCGCTCAGCTTCATTCCGGATCGCACCCAGAAAGCCGACTATGGTGTGATAACCGAACACGGCCGCGACGTAAAGTGCATCAACCCCTGCAGCAGTCGTCTTGAAGATGACACTTCTGTCCGTTTTAACCAGCTCTTGTAAGATGTCCAATCGTCCTTGGTGCGCCGCGATATGGGCATATGTTGCTCCTTCCAAAGTTTCAATGTTCGAGATGATCAGATCATGCTTCATGAAAAGCTCAATGATGTGTGGTCGACGAGAGAGAATCGCCAAGAAGAAGGGTGTTTCGCCTAGACATGTCTGAGGGTGACGTTCGCAACCAAGATCTAGTCAACGAGATGTAAGTTCCGCATTTCCACAATTTGCCGCGAAGTGAATAGGGCGCCAACCATCGTCATCCGAGATTTCTACGTCAGCTTTCCCGTCTAATAGGGTATTGGCTATCACTTGATCTTCCTTCTGTAGTGCCTCGATTAGAGGAGGATTGCGGAGTCCATGAGATTGGCGAGCGTTGACATCGGCATTGTGTTCAACGAGATACTTTACCACTACAGCGTCCCCCTGTTCTATAGCGTAGTGTAAAGCTGTGCGGCCATCTTGACCAATCAGATTGACGACTTCGGGCCTGCAAAGGTGCTTGATACAGTCAAGATGGCTGTGTGATGTCGCTAGATGAATGGCAAGGTTTCCTCTGTGATCTCTCAGGGTCCCCAGCTCAGGGCACCATTCCATCAGACACTTAACAATTTCATGGAGTCCTTTCGCTGCGGCGTAATGAAGCTTTTAAACAATCAATTACTCACTCTTCCACGTGTTTTCCCTGATCCTGTGACAGGATTTCGAGTAGCTTCCGCGGAGAGCTAATGCAGAGTTGGAGGCGTACGGCTGCGTGAAAAGAAAAATGGTACATACTGGATTTAATGTCAGCATTCCGAAAACAAGTATCAGGTCCAGTAATTCAGGCTTAGAATAACAAGCAATTATACGTCTCCGTAAGGTCGTGCCTTTAAAAGTTGCCCCAACTGCACGACTGGTGATTGAAGTACAACGTTTGGGGGGGGGCGCTGCAGGACAGCCGTTCACTCACCCAACAATTTGTCCCTCCCATTTCCCTGAGGGACGTCCTGGCTCGAAACCTCTGCCAGGAACGCCCTTTCGAAGCTGATGCGGTTGCGCCTCACAGCAATATGAAGCGCGGTATTGCCATGTCTGTCCTGTGCCAAAAGATCGATTCCCCAGGACAGCAGCGTATGTATGTGCTCGGCCCGGTCCCAGAATGCCAATGCGTGCATACTTGTACCTCCTTCAGCAAACACGTGCTTTGGGTCGGCTTTGTAACCGTCAACGAGCATGTGAGCGAGTTCGAGATTTTCTTGCCTCAAAGCACCTGACAAAGGCGTCCATCCCAAGGTTTCCGCTATTTCTGGATCTGCGCCATGTTCGAGAAGCATTCTCGCGCAGACAGTGCTTCCATTCCAGGTGGCCACATGTAACGGTGTCTGCTGGTTTCTATCGCCGGTGTTCAAAAGTCTCGCAGTCAATGGATTAGCCAGAAGTAATGACATTGTCTCTGCTTGGTTTCTTCGTGCCGCAGAATGAAGACAATTTGAGCCAACGTCGTCCACCACGTCGATGTCTGCCCCGACGTGCAATAACACGCGCGAGGCGCCTGTTCTTCCTTCTTGAATGGCAAGTAGAAGAGGAGTTTGGCTGCTGTATGTTCTTGCTTCTTTTTCTGCGCCACTTTCGAGCAGAAAGGTGACGATTTTCTCCCAGCCATTAGCGGCGGCATCGTGTAGCGGTGTCAAAGATCCGTCTCTTCTTGCTTCGATGTTGGCTCCGCTGTTGAGGAGTTCTGCTGCCATCTGTACATCTCCGTCACTTGATACCAGGTGCAATGCCGTAGAGCCATCCCACGCCTGAAGAGACGCGTTCGCAGAATGTTGGAGGAGCTTCCTCATTACGTCCATATGCGTGTTGACGGCGGCTGATCAGTGGTGTGTATCCGGTACAGCGGTCTCTCGTGTCAGGATGAGCCCCTGAAAGCAAAAGGTATTCCACAATGTCCGCATGTCCCAGACTCGCAGCCAAGTTGATGGCCGTCAATCCCCTCGTGTCCTCCGTTGCAGAGTGACCCATGACTAACACCAGAGACAACAGGTCGGTCCAGTGATTACGGACACAAGCACCAACCAGCCATGTTGAGCTTCTGCATGGTTTCCCCTTTCTTTGGTTCTTGTTCAAGAGTCCGCCTCTATGTTGGCCCAGGATCCAACTGCACATAGCTTTATGCCCATTGGCTGATGCCTGATCGATGGACCGATAACCGAATCCGTCGGTCTGGCGTATATCTACTTCATCGGGACTGAACGCGGATAAGGGCGCATCCAGTCCAAATATGGAGAGCAGATGCAGTGGTGTTGTGTCGGATGTGAAAGGGAATGGGTTAACATGTACTCTCATGTTGCTGAGGTTGCGGATGTAAATCTGATGCAAGAGTCGGCGAGTGTTAGTTGCCCGTATGAGGCCACAGGCAACTTCTCTGAGTCCTTCAGCCCCGCTGTCAAGTGCTTCTCTCAAATGGTCTCCCCAGAAAAGACCAGCATACTCCAGGAAAGGGTGCTTCTGAAATAATTCCTCCAGTGCATCTTGGCTTGGCATTGGCCCAATCCCAAAGACGCCAAACTTGAGGAACGTGATGCAGTCCTCGGCAAGAATTTGAGGTGCTCGTGCTTGTAGATCTCCATGATAATCAAGACCTTCAACGTGTGCCTTAGACAAAGATCGCAAGAAATCGCCCAGGGAAGCATGTAGAAGCGCATAGTGCCCGTCTTTGAGAACAAGTAGATCAGCGCAATCCGTCGTCAGAGGAATGTCAGGATCGAGTCTTTCAAGTTGGTCGTCATCCATTGAGGACATGCCCTTCTCGAGAGCCAGAACCTCTAGGAGCTGGGGCTTGCTGACGGGCTTTTTGGAGTTTGTGATCCACAGTAGAGCTTTCAAAGCCAAGCCCCTAGCGGGCTCCTCTTTCACAAGAATGCGTTTGAGAGCACCTGCATAAGCCCCAGAAACTCCTCTGGGCATGTTCAGGGCAGCAAGCTTCATTTTCCTTGCTGTCCTTTCCTTTTTGATGGAATCGATAACCAGAGATACCCAAAGGAACATACCGTCGGCAGAGCTAAGCAGGTGATCTTGTATTTCTTTCAGGGAAGCCAGGTCTTTGGTAAGTTGCTTGCTTCTATCGCCAATGAACCGGTTGATGTCTTCGATGTTGGCTCCTCGGTCGACTTCGATGCTCGGAAACCCGCCAGTAGCGCCGCTGATGGCAGGATACCCATCCCGACTGAATAGAAGAACATTGGCCAACATTGGTATGACACTTTTGATTCCGTGGATTATATCCTCTCTGCTTGGTTGTTCTATATGCGCAGTAAAGCAAAGCTCTCTCAGTCTAGGAACATCTTCGTCCAGAGATAAGTGCCGATAAAGCTGCTTCAGTATAGACCCTAAGAGATCTGTAGTGTCGTAACGAACGCTCGAATCCGTGAGTTGGCCTCCTTTTGTATCTCTAGAGGTCCGGATCAGCTCAGAACTGCAATATATATACACGCAACGGCAGCACGGCCGGGACCTCTGAAATTCTCTTTCTCCGGGCCTGACCTTATATGTAACTGCAGACCCTATTTGGAGCCAGAATCTTGCCTCGAACTGTTAATCAAGACATTGCGATATTCTCCACGTATTGAACAAGCTCTTCGAAGTATCATTTTTTATTCACATTTTTCTATGTCAACTGATTTAATACCAGAATACCCAACCTAGGTTATATATTTTTCTGAAATCTCACCAAAATTTCGTCTGGGGTGCAGGGGTTAGTGGTTGTGAGCCTTGATGCATTTGGGGCGGAGACGCTGTGTGTGGAAAATAAAGTGTTACCCCCCCCCACCTAGTCAATCGAGTTATTCGCTCCCCCCGCATAGAAAAAAGCCCTCTTCGCGTGCGCGCGACTACGCAGCGTTTATATTGCTTCTTTCCTCCTTAATTTCCCCCTTACTTTCCTCTTCCTTTTTGCCCTCCATAAGTATTTCCATAGCGCTTTATTATAGTGAAAGGAAGAGGTTTGCATTTATGATTACCATGTATATATGCAAAATAATGCCTCCCGTGCCTTTTTGTCGTGGCAGCGATGTAAATGATCACGAGAAAGGCGAGAAATGCAAGGTGCGCACCATGTGTGAAGAGGGCGCGAAAACGCTACGCGGGCGCGCTTGGTTGGAGGAGGTTGTGACATTTTGAGAGTATGTAGAAGACGCGAATACGCTGCGCTGTGGCGCGCGCGAAGAGGGCTTTTTATATGCGAGGGGGGTGACTGAGTCAGATTTGCAGGGCGGGGTAACACTTTGTTTTCCACACAAAGCGGGTCAAAGTCACGTGCGCATTGTGAGAGTTCGCAGCGGCCTGCCAGGTTGGCAATGGCTATTCTCCTCTCCTGTCCATAGCTTTCTGTGCAGCATAGACGCCCAGTCAGCCACTTACGTCCTCAATACACTAAGAATTTCACATTTACATTTTCTAGGAGTTCTTCAATCACCAATGTGCAGTAGTCAGGCGCAGCACGCGGTGAAATTCTCCCTTTGGAACAAACATGAGCTCAACTTTTCAATCAGACCAAGTCGCCATACAGAATGAAGGGGAATATTCTTCGAGTTCCACCTCTTCGTCAACACGCTCGTCTCTCCCTCATCCTTTGTCTGATGAGATTCTTCGAAGCTTCCAGTTCATCAACCAGCAGAGAGATCACTCGAGGAATGGTCATGCTATCATAGCACACTCTCGGCGCGCTGGCAACAGTGTGCAGCACTCGGTAAGCGCTGACGACCACGGAGCAACCACAAGTGCAAACGATGAAAACCATGCACAAGGCAGAGCCGGCATGGAATTTTCTGGACTGAGCGACCATGATCTCGATCTGGTCATTGCCAATCTTGAGGCCCGTGCCTCAGAGCGTCGCTACAAGATTCGCAAGATCGAAGCCTTGAGTGAAGAGCTCGGTCTCAACATTCATCAGCAGGATTGGGCTGCTTTTCTGAGAAGACCTGCATCAGGGTCCAGTCCAAGCATAGCCGATGGCCAAAGAACTTCTGACCAACACGAAGCACAAAATCAGGCGGATGCGCCTGGAAATCTCGAGCCGACGCCTATCCCTGAGACTCAAGCGGTTCACCAGCTCACGGTCGCGGACGATGCCTCAGCCAACAGCTCCTCGGATGTACAAGCCGAGCCTGCAACACCTCGTCGATCTCTGCGGATGCTTCGTGGGCTTAAGAGAGCCCATTACCACTTGGAACAACAGAGGTCTGTAAGTGCCGATTTCCACGAGGTTGCAGAGGTGGAGGAGTTCAGTGGTCCGCGCTCGCCCGTTCAGATTCAATCACTGCACCCCAAAGGCGGCGAGAACGAAAGTGGTGGTCGGAGCGACTCTTTAGATGGTGTCGCCAGGCGGACCGCCTGGTCTGTTGTTTTGGAAACATACCCCGAAGAGGTTGCCAAGAGATTTAGGCCCGGCGAGCGTCCAACAAACAACCAAGTCAGGTCTATGGTAAGTTTCTTCACATCCCGTCAGTTCCATAAGTTCGACCGTTAATACAGAAGCCAGCTTGATCTACCTGCCGTCAACGCTTTGGAGGTCAATACAAAGGGTCACCGCGGAAAGTGGAATCTAAAAGGTGGTACATCTCGCCAAACAGAGCATCTGATCGCCATTCTTGTACGGATCACGGGTATACCTGAAACTGATCCCTGTGAAAGGTGCGAGCAAGGGTGCGGGCTTTGGGCTGGGTGTTATACAAAGCCGGACGCTGCAATACTTGCAGGTAAGGATAAAAAGGTTTGCGCCAACTGTATGATTCATAGCGAATCTCGGAACTGTCGATGGAAGCAGGGTCCATCACTGCCGTAAACACCATCCCCAGCCCCACTGCCCCCCCCCCTGGGCCCAAAAACAAAGAGAAGAAGAAGAAAGGAAAGAAGCTCGACTATTAATTTTAGTTATTTGTCATGAAGAATTTAAAAAGAATAATAACAATAATAATAACCTACCTCGAGTTACAGGGACTGCCGGCAGAACGTATCGGACCAGTCATGCAAGTAGCCAAAAGACTGTCAGACACATATGACTTCTCCGCTGGTCTCAGCGGGCTGAGCAAATCCGAACGTGACTAAAGAAAACATGATTTTGATGGTTTAGATACACTTGGGCGCCTGTATACCCACGAGATCAGTCGTAGAAGACCATGGCTCGTACTTCAATGCTCTGCCTGCTCGGATCCTCTTCATTTTCCTGATAGCTAAAAGCGGAATGCGGTGCACGCCTTGCTACAGACGTGTCCGAGTCAAAGCACTTAATCAGCACAACCATATCTGGCACATGTTTGTTTTTATAAAACCATCGATGAGAAGCGTTCGGCTTCACGGCCCATGTCTCAGATCTTGAGTTCGGCTTTATGATAGCTGCTGGAACAAGGTCGGAATCCAAGACGGTAGAGGCGTCTGCGATTGCAAGAGGATCTCGAAGTACTGTCCGGATGGGTCGCCACACCTGCGGCTCAGTTATAGATAACCAGTCAGCCGAGTCGCTTCCTGTGGGGCAGACACAGACACTCACGTTAATCAACTGGTACCTTCCCTTCAGAAGCTCGTTTGCTTCATCAGGAAGTGTGTTTCGCAGCTGGAGCTCGGCACCATGGTATGACTGGTCTACGTGGACTTTGAACAACGGTCCCGCATTCAAACGATTGTCCAATCCTGCCTTGGTCCAATCCGAGGGTCCTCGACGCGCTCTATGGTTGAACACAACGACGCGTGAGGCACCTGTTCTATGTCATGGAATCATATCAGTAATGCGGTGAGAAAGCCACCCACGCTGGCCAGATAGACTCACACCTCTTTCAGCAGCTGTTCCACTTCAGCGTAATACCCGCTAGTGATCCGTCCTTCATCATCAAAGTTCTTCTCTTGACTGATGTGGTGGACGAATTGGAACCCATTCTTGTCGAGCGTATATTCATTTTCATGACCAGTAATGTCTTGTACGATGGCATCGATCGATACGGATGGCCTCTTGTTGTTGACGCTGGTGCTTTATTGTGCCGGATTATGTCAGTAATGACGATATGTGTAAAGGCTGGCCATGGGGGAGCGAGAGATCAAGAGTAGTGGAACTACCTACTTGCCCACCATGACAGGTACTGGGGCTCCGGCGTCAATGGGGTAGTAGTTCAGCGACGTGGACACATCATGCCGATTCTCCTCGGAGTCAGTTTGCCCCTGCATTTTGAGATCCATCATCTCGGCGAGCGACAATTCAATCCCACACGGTATAGTCGAACCATCAAGGACTGGTAAGCCCAGCCTCCTAAGTAAGGTGCAGAAGTCGTCTGTGGAGTGGTGGCGCCTGTGGCTCGCACAGTTGCGAAACAGGAACAGGAAGAAGGCCAGGCAATCATTCTCGTGGTGACCTCGAGCTGAATCATGACGACCTGAGCCCTAACCCTGCACGAATGCTGCTGTCTTGAACGACGACTTGCTTCGGGCATGCCGAACTTACCTCTTTGTCTATTTAGAAATTCTACCAGTTATGTCTGGAATCCCAGTATCTGAGTAGACCGTTCAGTACGTGAGTTGCCCTCAGCTATGTGGGAAAGAATATCATAAGTCAAGAATTCAATCACAAAGTCATATAGCAAAGTGGAACAACAATGGCATGCGGCCTGAGTCCGAGAATTCTACGCAGACTAGCAGAACCAACGCCGACGAAGGAAATGTCACTCATCAAATATGGGAGGAAGCACAGTATGCAGAGATAAAATTGCAGATCGATTAATACTTTCGCCCTTCTAAACCAAATGTGGACTGTGCTACAGCCAGTAGCTCTACAATAAGAAATCAGAGATTCGCATCTGCAAAAACAGAGGGTGTACACTTGTGCACCGGTACATCACAAGTCATAAACCACATCAGAATTCGCACCCAACGCCTAATTCATATACCCAATTAACACATTGTAATAGGCCCTTAACGTAGAAATTAGCCGTGTGAATTGGGTAAGTAGGTCACGGTGTTGCATATATAGGTGTTGGGTGTGTGGGTGTTGAGTGTGGCAGTGTGAATTAGGCCTCGGTGATGTGCTCTAATTTGCTGTGGTCACGGCCCGAGTGATGTACCGGTGTACCCTCCGTTTTTGCAGGTGCGAATCTCTGTATTCTACAAGTTATCCATCTGGGCAACACTTGGTCCGTCTGCTATTACGTCTCTAGTCCATCAGCAGGACGGGATCCGGAAACGAGGTGCTTATACACCGCGGTTTCCAGTTTTGAGTAGAGGTCGTTAGCAACGTGGTCCGCGTAGGGAAGCAGTGTGACTACCATGACGCCCGCGATGCCCGTAGAAGGGTCAAGCCACTAGAACAATTTGCAAGTCAGGCTTTGTCCTCAGGATGATATTATAGGAGGTTGAGTGCCAATTTACCCAGTGAGAGTTAGCCACCCCACTCCACATCATGCTTCCTGCCTTTCTCCTGCCCGGGATATCCTCCAAATTCAACATTCCGCCGAAGGCAAAGTTGGCTGGCATTCCGATGGGGTACTCGGGGGCATAGCCTTCCGGCATGCTTGCGACCTTGTCCATCAAGTCCTTCTGAAGTGATTCGTCAAGCTGCGGCCTGAACAACATCTCCATCCCTTCTCTACCGAGTAGCTTGCCCTGCATCAGCCCTTGGAGCAGCTTCGCGTAGTCCCTCGCGGTCGAGAATAGCCCCGAGCCGCCACTCTCGGCAGGGTGATCATCCGGCAGTGGCGATGGGCCTGCTTCTAGAGTACCGCCCGGTGAGCGAAAGGCAAAGCTAGCCGTCCTAACTACTCGTTCCGCTTGGTCGGCTGACAGCTTTGGCCGAAGGGTAGTGTCGCGCATTCCCAGGACCTCGAAGATGTTCGCTGTCATGTACTGCTGCAATGTCTGCCCGGTAACCTTCTCGAGCAATTGCCCAGCCCAGTCAATCCCTGTGCCATATAGCCACTGTGTTCCAGGCTCAAACAGGAGCGGCGTCGAGAAGCCTTCTTCCGACCATGTCAGGTTAACCTTGTGCCGCCCAACAGCTTTGCGCCATTTCATGAGCGGCTCAGAGGGGATGTCATAGGTCAGGCCAGAAGTGTGTGTCAGAAGATGCCGGAGCGTGATTGGGCGGTGGTTATTTTCCAAGATGGGCTTATCGTCTCCATCGAACCCGCGGAGGATTTGTACGTCGGACAGAAAGGGAAGTCGTAGCCTCAAGTCTTCGTCAATGGTGATCTGACCGCGCTCGACGAGCTGCAAAATGCAAGTGGCAGTTAAAAGCTTGGTCAGGGAGGCCACGTATGTGAAAGTATCCGGCGTGTATCGCGCCGCTTCATGATTGTGGTCGATTCGGCCGGCTGAGCCCTCGTAAAGGACGTCTTGGAGCAATGCCAGCGTAAGCATATCCAGTCAAGACCGGGCGGCAGCAGACTATCCAGAACAGCGTCACTCACCTTTTTCGTTCACAACCATGAACGAGACCCCGAGAACTTTGTCCTTGGTGTCCCTTCCTGAGGCGGCGTAACTTTTAAGTATCGAGTCAAGTTCCGCCATGGCTAATTGCTCTGTTGATATTGCAGTCGTGTCTAATGAACAAGTTCCGACATTTGAGCCGTCGGACAATTTCGCTGGGTCACAATCGAGTTTTTCATTTGAAAAAGAGGTGAAAGATTGGGGGAACACTGTGTCCAGAACCGCCCAGGTGATCATGTTCGCTGTGTTTATGAAAGGTGGCCGCCACGTATGCACAAGGCAGCAGGAGTCGTGTCTGTCAGCAAGAATGCTCACATCACCAATAGTTCCCCACAGGAGCCATGAGATGAGGATTGCGCCGAATCGATGTGTCATAATGATTACTGGATGAGTCGAATTGCATACTGTGTGCACAATTACACAGTTTGCTTCGAGGCAGCACTGCCACCCCGCCTGCAGCGCTTACTCGATGACAGACAGCAGCAACAGGCAGTCGGCAGTCGCTGCCTGTTAGTGAAGACTCTGATGCGAAGATTCTTTTCCGTATCATATGCCGTAACTCTGTGTGTATATAATGATAATATATGGATAGCGACAGAGCCAGATTGGAAGACCCTCGGTTAGCCTACTATACTCCCTGTCAAAAAGGACGCGCATGGACCGCCGAACAAGGCTCGAACTTCACGGAGAAGCCTCTGTAGATAAAACTGTGCGAAAGGACGGGGATTCATGAGGACTTGACTTGCTGGTTGGCTCAATTCCTCCGCTTGGACTAATGTTGTATTGTTTACATTGTATATTCAAGAGGGACATGTGCCATACTAGAAGTCAACCTCAGAATATGGTTGGCTGCAACCCGTCTATTGTGGGTGAACCGGTCGTCTAGGACCAGTCTCTTCCCACACAATACACAGAGACTAAATATCGCTGAGCCTTATGAGTCTGTCTCTGCGTATTTACTGTCTGTCCTGGGCTTTATGGTCCTATTGGTCACGCGCGACCTCCGGTTGAACCGATGGATGCGCAGCTTCCCGCGTCACAATGTTGTGCTCCGTCTTTGCGAGCCTAGGCGGTCCAAGGCCAAAACATAGCTGCGAGTGGAAGAAAAGGTAAGACGGATCATAGCCTTGGAAAAGGATCGATTTGTGAATAACTTCAAACGGGCAATCAACGGCCCTGGCGGAACAGGGAAAATGTGATACAAAAGCCTGAGAAGGAGATGAATGCTCCGTGCGCTGAAAGCGGATTTCGAAAGGTTTTAGGGCACAGGAAGCATCTCGGTCCACCGCGCAGATCACGCAGAGAAGTGAAAGCCTTTGGCCTAGGTTCTCATTCTTCGGCCATCAAGCCCCCCTGGACAACATTGCCTCGACATGTCGGCGTACGCATGGAGGAGCGCCTCCCATGCGACGCTCGCAACTTGCGCCGCGGGCGAGCAATGCGAGGGAGAGTAGAGTTGAAACAGCACTGGCAGGGCGGGACCCCAGACCCCGGATGGGACACGACGCGGAACCGGCATATCCCGGAATACACGGTGCCAAGGTGCTTGCCAACCTTGGTCCGGCTCTTCACACTGCCCGTGGATTGGCTGCGGCGGTAGCGGGCCAGGGACGGAGGCAGAAGTGTTGATGTCAGTGCCCTGCAAGCATGTGGGATGCTACTCTGGTTCTACTGTCATTCGCCATCGAAGTGCAAGACATGCAGCCGTACCATAAGTAGCAGACTTCTCCCAGTGGCGTCTGGGGAAATTGTGTATGAATACCATCATGGACCTCGGGGCGAAGTTTGGAGCAGCCGGGTGGCCAGGCCAGACACCAGCAAAGCGGTGTCCAATCGCAACTGGTGGACGAACGAAATCAGTGTTCAAAAGAAAGTAAGACTGGCTGGTTGGCGGACACGCGGGCGTGCAAGACAACAGTCTGTTTGGATGAGGACTCGAGCGCAGGCAGTTGGCTGGGGGAGGCGCATCCGTGGGGTGTGAGCCCATGTGCCTTGAAACAGGTCGCGTTTTGAAGGTTTACGCAGCGGGCGCGGGGAGAATCGCGCGAAAGATAAGACTTCCTGCCCAGCTGCCTAGGTCATTGTGACTTGCCAGTGGATCATCGAAACGACCGGAGAAGACGTCATGGCTGCAGCTCAGTTGAATTGAAAGGCTGGACCCCTTTGATGGCCCGGTTCGGTGCTGGGCGGCAACTCGACAGGTATTTCCAATGACTGAATATCCAGATGGGCGCCAATTCGGATGCCTGTCATGATTGAGTAGATAGTAAGTGTCGACCCGCTGGCTCGATGTCGAGTTCGTTAGCCCAGATGATGTGGCGAGGGGCACCGTTCAAATGTCGCAGCTGAACAGTCGACCTCGTTCATGTCTACCTTTTTCCTTTACCTGCACGTTGGTTGGTTGGTAGGTAAGCCAAGGCGGTGTCGGGCCAGCTCAAGGCCAGAACTGGAAGCCATCGGTGGCTGGGTTTAGCTCTGCATTCGCCAACGTCAATTATCACTGGAAGCTGCCCATGTGTTCACCGTGTAGGGAGATGCTCAACAGCATTAGTATTAAATCTGTCGCCCAGTCGGCAACTCTGCACCCTGCAGTGGGCCAAAGGCGAAGGTGTGAGGGTGGGAATTTAATCCACTGTGTAGACTACCTACCTGGGCACAGTACCTGCGTCACCTCAGCCCTGCCGAGACCGACCTGAGATCTGAGACCCGGGACCTGGACCTGGACCTGAGCCAGGGCCCGGGCCTGAACCTGCATTACCGAGTAACCGTGGTAGGCGGCGGGTGGGGAAGAATTCAACACCACCGCACGTGGCCAGCTGGCGAGGCACAGGCGAGAACAAGGATCATGGAGGGAAGAAGCGCAACACCTGGATGTTGCCTGACCCGAATTGTTGGTTGGGGGTTGGAGCTGGCCTTGAGTCGCAGCGGTGTGCAATATGTTGTACAATGCTGCCAATCATGCCAAATGCCTCGGTTCCATTTGAGCCAACGTTTCCGTTCATCATCACCACCACCATCTATCTACACCATGGTCATCATCATTGCCCACCCACTCAAATGGAAAACCGGGTAGCATTCTCTGATGCTGCATGTCGGTACATTGAAGCACGGTGTATATATATGCCACAGTATATGATATATCTCTATGCAATGTCCTGGCTGCTTCATAACGTTGCAATGGCAGCCACGGAGTGAACACCCCCTTCACTTTGTAGAGGCCTGACCATTGTTACGTGCGTGCCGTAGGGACGGCATTGGTGACCACTGAAGGTCCCTCCCCCATTCTGTTCTGGCAAGCGCGGTCTCTCTTGATTGAATCCAATTTGGGAAACAACCCCTGAGTGGGGCAACGAATCCCCCCCACCTTCCTGCTCAAACTGCTCACCCTGCCTGCCTGCCAGCCAGCCGCCGCCTGCGGAACGATGCTCTCTGTGCCATACGTGCCCCAATGTCCCTTTCTCCCTCGCCCCCCTCGGCCCCTCGCCCCTTGCGCCTGCAGGCTGCACCACCCCATCGCCTGCAGCTGGATCTGTCCTGTCCCACTTGGCCCCAACGATGCTGTGTACCCAGGTTCGTCTACCAATGTACTTGCTGGCTGGCCTTGGATCTGACTGTGCTGTACGAATACAGTCTGTACTATCTGACTGCCTAGGTGATGACTGAGACCGACCTGGGTGGCGTGGAAAGGGGGGCCGGAATGCACATGTCGTGTATGTAGGTATGTTACGCCACACGATATCTCCTATCCTATTCTTGTTAGCGTCTCGGGTGTGTCCTTTGTCTGTATGTAGTGCAGGTCATCAAGGGTGTAGATGGACGGGGAGAAAGAGAGGACGAGAGCCTGCCAGGTACGGAATAGACTAGTCCATTTTCCTATTCCGCCTGAGGACAAGAGGCCCTGAGGACCCAGCCGCCCCCCCCCCCCCAAAGAAAGCCCCACGGATCAACCAGACCTCGCCCTGGCTTGCATCCACTTCCACTGGTACCGCTACTGCTGTGCTAACTGCGTCTAATGGTTTACTGGTGGCTGACTGCTGCTGGCCTGCTGGCCTGTTGGCGGCTGGGGGCTGCTGGATGCGTGCGTTTATGGACGGGTGGGCCTTGGGGGCAATTGAGCAAGGAGCATGGGGGCGGGGGGAGCATGGGGGCACTGTCTCGTCTGGCAGGTATTCTGCATTTTGCATTGACCGACAAAGCTGGGAGGAAGGGGCGGGCCACCCACACACACAGAGCAGGAGCACTGCAAGGTACACGACACCCACACCAATTGCCATACAGGTACACCACCTTCGATTCCTTCCTTCAACCTGCTGCTTCACTCTCTTCGCCGCACCTATTCCCTCCCTCTACAGTAATAACACTGGGCAGTCCAGTCTTCTCGCCGCGTTGCCTCCTTGAGCCCCTGCACCCCTGCCGTCCATACACCCCCCTGCTCTTCCTCTCTCTTTACCTAGACTATTCTTTCTCCCTCTCTCTTCCCTTATCGGAGGCAGCATTGACTGGCACCGACTCTTCGATCCGAGCCTCAACCGGCATCTGCACTGGTGATCGATTGACAGACTGCACTTCTCGACTGCATTGGTCCGGCTCTGGCTCTGGCTCTGGCTTTAACTTCTGCATCGGCACCGGCAGTGGCGTCACACCAGATCGGTCAAAGAGAAAGCCAGTCAGCAAGCCCTCCTACAGGCTGCTCGCCCCGGCTGGGTTGGCGCATGAAGACGACGAGGCCCTGATGCGCTGAACTTTGGGCCCAGCATCGCTCGGTCGTAGTCAATTGTCAAACCACACACGCACTCGTGCCCCAATCCCAGACCGGACGGTCATCGACGACAAGGGCCACCCATCCCACGCGGGCGCACACACCCAACTCTCTCTCCCTCTCTCCCTCTCCCCGCAAGACGCACCCGGACAAACAGCAGGGACTGAGGGACTGAGAGACTGAGAGACACAGAGACACGCAGAGACGCAGAGACACACGCCCGCATCAAGCACCCTGCTGCTGCTGCTGCTGCTGCTGCTGCCACACGCCGGACGCGCTCTCCCTCTTTTGGCCCGTCTCCCCCTCTCCCCGCCTGCTGTGCGTCGGGGGAAGGAGACAGCCGCCATCCCGCACGGAAATGCCATCGCCTCACGCCAATGCTCATGCGCATCACACCGGCTCCGTCTCTGCTGCCTCAAACACCTCCCTTCCCCAATCCGCCTTCAACTTCCACCTCAACTCCTCCTCGGCCTCCTTCTCGAACTCAACCTTCAACTCCGTCTCGAACCCCGCCTCCCGCTCCACCACTCCCGCCTCCCAGCTCACCGTCGGCTCCCGGAAACCATCGCAGTTTAACCCCCATCAGCACCAGCCTCTGCCGCCGCCGCCGCAGCAACACCACTACCACCACCAGCCCTACTACGATCCCTCGGTCCATGTTTCGAGGCCTGTCTACGGCTCGGCCCAGTACAATCCCACCAGGCCCTCGCACATCGCCAACAGCGCCTCCCACATATCCTCTGCGGTCAATCTGACCCCGTCCTTCTCCTCCGCCTCCCTCCCACGGACCTCCTCGCTGCTGCCGCCTCCGAGCCTCACCGTCGACCAGTCCAGCTGGAACCAGCCCGCCCTCCACGACCCCTTCTCAAATGCTTCCGCCGCCGTACCCGTCCCCGCCGACCCGGTGACCGACCGCGAGTTCGACGACTCCGTCTCGCCAAAGAACACTCGCCGGCACCACTCCAAGTCCCACTCGCGATCCAGTAGTCTGGGCGGTCTGAGCGACGGCTTTCGGAACCTCAATAGATGGTCCATCTCCACCTCCTCTAGTCGTGCATCTAACCCGGCCTCTGCGAAGCGCTTCTCCCGCCGCATGAGCATTGATTCCACCGCGCTCTTCTCGCAGTCCTCCTCTGCCGCCTCGCCAAGACGACTGCACAAGAACCGCCCCTCGACCGCCGGCGGGTCTCCCGAGGACCTCCACCAGCAGCAGCCCGCGGTGCCCCCGCTGACTACCCTGCCCCCCATCGTGCAACTGCCCTCCCTGTCACAGGACGACCTGGTCGGGGCCGCCTTGTCAGGCCGGGACCCGAGACCAGAGCGCGCCACATACTTCCCCGGGCCAGGTGCTGAGAGCGAGTCTGGTACTTTCTGGGATGATTCTTCGAGAGCCGGCGAGACTTCATACCTGTCGACCTCCCCGCGCGCCACCCCTGACCCCTCCCTGCCGACTTCTACCTTCAGCCGGGACGCCACCATGCCACACACCGAGGATGGCGCTGCATACCGTGAAAAGGGACACTCGAGGAGCCGGTCCCAGGGGCTCAAGAGCAGCACGGATTCTACCTCGTCGCAGAGGAACCCCAGCCGTTCGAAGCAGCCGTCGCAGAAAGCCATGCTCTCCAAGGCGTTGCAAAAGGCCAACAGCGCCGTCCAACTCGACAATGCCCAGAATTTCCAGGGCGCGCGCTCGGCCTATCGGGAAGCATGCGACCTGCTGCACCAGGTCCTACTGCGGACGGCGGGCGACGAGGACAAGAAGAAGCTCGAGGCCATTGTGAGTCCACGCCCACGGTCACCCTCTGCACTTTTGCCCGGAGATTACTAACGCGCTTTCGCAACGCCAGCGCAAGACTTATGCCAGCCGCATCGAAGAGCTAGACCAGATGCTCCCCGACGACGAGCAAGACAGCAAGGCACTCCCTCAGAGGCCGACAAGCAACAGTACAACCTCAACATCCCAGGTTGCCGGGCGCGCGAGGAATGGCTCAGTGGCCACTGCGGACGACCAACCCCAGAGGTTACGGTCGGATTCGGAGAGGAGCCAGCCCAGCCAGCGGCCGGTGCCCAACTACGCAAGACCAACATCAGCTGCGTGGAGACCTCAACACAGCCCAAAACCGTCATTGGACGGCTCGCGCTATGTGACGCCAACGCCGACAAACTTCAGCGAGCCGTATACGCGCTCCCAGTCCGCCTTCTCTCAGAGCTCCCCCCAAAGAGACCGCACGACGCATCCAGAGACGTTCCTGGCCCGACCGATGGAAGATGAGTATAAACCCCCACCTCTCTCCCCACGCAGGCCCATATCCCCTACCGCCAAGCTAGGGCCGGACGTTTCCATCCGGGCCGACTTCTCAAGCGACATGAACCGTCTCGCCCCGGCGCCGTCCTCGCAAAGAGGTCATCAGCGTGGTAACAGCCACGAGTCAATATCTTGGCTTGACCCGATAGACGAGTCGGCGGGCTCTTCAGCATCGTCTGTGCACTCGAGGTCGTCCTCAATGGGGATCAGGAGGAAGCACATCCGGTCGGCCAGTGGCGACACAGAGGCCGAGTTCGATGCAGCTCTCGACGATGCCATTGAAGCGGCCTATGACGACGGCTATGAGTCCACGGATCCCGCCCAGCGTGCCCTGAACCTCGATCATGTCATCGACGAGGACGACGTCATCGCGCAAGCCCTCAAGAAGGTCCAGCTAGCCAAGGAGCGGGTGCGGCAGTCTGAACTCGAGATGCAGCGGCTTGCTAATGACAGGGACCGTCGTATGAAGGCGCTGCAGGAGGAAGAGCAAACACTGCCCGGGGGCTTCTACGACGGGGACGATTCGGATGACGAGGAACGTATGCTCGAGGAGATGACCACGGGCTACGCCATCGAGAACTTCACGCTTGGGGACCAATCAGCAAGAAACCGGCTACCTCGCGAGTCTGACTCCAGCGAGCTCACTTCGCGGACTTGGCACAGCTCTACCGTGTCGAACCCGCCCACTGCGAATACCGTACTCTCGCCTGTGACAGAGAGCGCCACCGTGCCATCGCTGTCAAAGAGCCAAGGCCCCATCGCGCCGCCACCATCACAGTCTTTGCCCAAACTCCCCCCCGGGCGCCCGCCGTCGTCAGGTGGCCGTGACAGTGTGCGCGACCGCCGGCTGTCCGGGACTAATGCTAAACAGCTGAAGATTGAGACCCAGAAGCTGGGGCCCAAGGTCCAGGAGCCAGCCACTGCGGGCCCAATGATGCAGAGCAAGGAATCGCTCGCGGGTCAGCTCCCAAAGACGGCTGGCTTCGTTGGGCAGCAGAGGCAGACCCTTGGTGCCGCCCCAACGTCCGGCCCCGGCCAAGCCCGGTCCGCTTCGCAACTCCGTGGCCCGTCGCCGATCCCCCCCGGCCTCGCGGCCCAGGGGCCACCGCCGACTCCGCCAGTGCCTGCTGGCTTCGAAGGACCTACTGAGGCCCGGGCCGAGTCGCCGGCCGTGTCTCGGCCCCCGGCCCTGCGCAAGAACTTTTCCTCAAACTCCTTGAAGAGCATGAAGACCCGCAACCTCTCCATTACCAACATCGAAGAGTACTCGGACGTGTCTCCTGGCACGCCGCTGTCCAATCAGTTCGGAAGCACCCCAGCGGCGCGCCTGCCCGCGCTGCCGTCGCTCCCCACGCCGGTGGCGGCTGCGTTCAGGGACCGCGTAACGTCAGGATCAGCGGCTGGTGGCTTCCACCTGTTCGATAATGACATCCACTCCCCAGCATCGCCTGGCGAGCCGAACGCCCCATCCGAGGATGCGCCGCTACCTCTCGAGCCGTGCCCGACGGACGTGATGCTCCGGCCGTTCTGGCTCATGCGCGCACTGTACCAGACGCTCGCTCACCCCAAGGGAGGGTACATCAGCAACAAGCTCTTTGTGCCGAGGGACGCGTGGCGGGTCAAGGGTGTCAAGATCAGGGGGATGGAGGAGAAGACTAGCCAGTGCGATCTTCTCACGGCTGCTCTCCAGAAGCTGGCGCGGGTGGACTCGGAGGACGCCGACGCGCTGTTGGAAGAGATGCAGAGCTTCGAAAACGTCCTTGAGCAGGCCCAGGTGTTCCTGACCCGACGGCTTGGCAACGAGGTCGGCGTCCAGGGCGCAGGCACGATGTTCAGGGACGCGGACGGGGTCGTCGAGTCGGACGGCAAGCCAGTTCCCCGGAACAATTCTGTGAGCGCCAAGGGGGCGTTCAGCTGGCGGCGGCTGCGAAGCAAGACGAGCTCGACCGGGCTGGGGAGCGCGTACGAGCGCGGCGGGGCCAGGAAGGAAATGACACCTGCGGGCGGAGTGGAGGCCATGTCACTGGCGACACTGCCCATGACGAACCACCCTACCTCTAAGCCGGGTAAGAGGGACGCGATGGGCGTGCAGTTCAGTGGGCCAAACGCTCATTACATGGCTGCGTTGGCGCGCTTGTTTGACGCTGCGCAGACCATCGGTACGTACTTGACTTGCATTTGTCCCCAGCTGTTTGACCCCCAACACACACACGCCCCCCCCCTTCCCTATCCTTTCAGGGGTGCTCCCCCTAGACTGCCGCAACTTGGCTATTACCTCTGTTGAAGGCTCCTGGCTAACGCATGGCGATGACTTAGACCAAATCGCTCGCCAGGTGGAAGACCCAGGCCTCCGACACGCCGACAAGACGCAGGTCGGGCTCGAGCTCTGCACTAGGCACGCTGCCGAGTTCTTTGCCTTCTACATCTGCCGGTTTGTCCTGCAGGATCTGACCATGTTGCTGGACAAGTTCATCAAGAGGGGTAGTGAGTGGGTGCTGGTGTGAACCTACCCTGGGGTACCCAGATGGGGGCAAGCTGTCCCGGTGATGGGTAGCGGTTGAGAAACTGGCTTCTCGGGTGGGGGACGATATCGAGGGATGAGAAGTAGATGCCGAGAGGCTCACTGCTGGTGATGGGCATGTGGAGCCTCTCTATGACTGGCAGAGGACTGATGGTTCTTTCTGTCATTGTTTATTATACCACCAACACTGAGCCGGCCTGAGGCACCCCGGTCGGGCTCGGCCATCATGGGCTTGACTGGTTGTTCCAATCTCTGGAGTTTAAACGGAAGATACCTAGGAAGATATCCCGCATTGGGTTGACATGTTTCAATGATATCAACAAGACATTCATCGGCTGGACCATTCTCGTGTGACAGTGGTCGTTCTCTGTGGTGTGAGCTTGGTCACATCTGTGCAGCACAAACTCTACTGTAGAGGAGCTACAGCCAGTCATGTGTAAACCATATCAGCCAGAGTGTATTTCTGGTCTTTTCTGTTGGTAAGAAATAGTGTAGTCCAAGTAGGTAAGACCAGGTACCGGGTTACTCAGTGTTGCGATAAGATAAGGAGAGCAAGCCCAATTTTGGGACATCGGTCCAGAAATCCAGGGACACAAGAATCGCTGGCCGGGACAAGATGCACGCATCATTCCTTGACACCCACTCTTACTGAGCTTCGTCTGGGCCGTTTGCATACGCGGCTGTGCGGCAGATTCTTCGATGCGATCAGTATGTCTGCGGCCGCCTTGCCCATCAAGCCGCCTGGTGCGCAGCATCGCGTGTCATAAGCCCAGCACCACCACCGCCAAACAAGCATTCACTACCCTACGCCGATGCGCCGCGCTGCCGTCTGTCGCGTACGGCATACCTTCACATTCACAACCAGGGCTGTGCACGCCGAGGTCCTACGCTACCGCGTCGTCATCTCCCTCGTCTGCCTCGACCTCGGCCTCGGCGTCCAGGAAGGGGCAAACCGACCTCGAGAAGCGCATCGCCGCCATCCCGCTCGAACGCTTCCGCAACTTCTGCGTGATTGCGCACATCGACCATGGGAAGTCCACCCTCAGCGACCGGCTCCTCGAGCTGACGGGCACCATCTCCAAGGACGACGAGAACAAGCAGATCCTCGACAAGCTGGACGTCGAGCGCGAGCGGGGCATCACGGTCAAGGCGCAGACATGCACCATGATCTACAAGCACAGGGGCCAGGACTACCTGCTGCACCTCGTGGACACCCCGGGCCATGTCGACTTCCGCGCCGAGGTGACACGGTCATATGCCTCGTGCGGCGGCGCGCTGCTGCTGGTGGACGCGTCCCAAGGCATCCAGGCCCAGACCGTCGCCAACTTCTACACGGCATTTGCGCAGGAGCTGGTCATGGTGCCCGTGGTGAACAAGATCGACCTGCCGACTGCTGACGTCGATAGGGCCGTGTCGCAGCTAAAGGACACCTTCGAGATAGGGGCCGAGGACCACGAGGGTGGCGCACCCGTCCTGGTGTCCGCCAAGAGCGGCAAGAATGTGGAAGCCATCTTGCCGGCCGTGGTCGAGAGGATCCCACACCCACAAGGAGACAGCAGTCGCCCTCTGCGGCTGCTACTGGTGGACTCGTGGTACGACACCTTCAGGGGCGTCAACTTGCTGGTCAGGCTCTTCGACGGCACAATCAAGGCCGGAGACCAAATTGTGTCGCTGGCGACCGGGAAGAAATACACGGTTGGCGAGGTCGGCATCCACTACCCACACCAAGTCCCACAGACGGTCCTGCGGGCGGGCCAGGTCGGGTACATCCTGTTCAACCCGGGCATGAAGCGCATCCAGGACGCCAAGATCGGGGACACCTTCACGACACTCGGGAACGAGGACAAGGTTGAAATGTATCCAGGCTTCGAGGAGCCCAAACCAATGGTCTTCGTCGGGGCCTTCCCCACGGATCAGTCAGACTACACCAAGATGTCCGAGAGCATCAACCAGCTCGTCCTGAACGACAGGAGCATCACCCTGCAGAAGGACCACTCAGAGGCCCTGGGCGCAGGCTGGCGTCTGGGCTTCCTGGGCAGTCTGCACTGCTCCGTCTTCCAGGACCGCCTGAGACAGGAGTACGGCGCCAGCGTCATCATCACCGAGCCCTCGGTGCCCAGCCGCATAGTCCACGCAGACGGCAAGGAGGTCATCGTGACCAACCCGGCCGAGTTCCCTTCGGACGACGATCACAAGGCAAGAGCGGCCACCTTCTACGAGCCGTTCGTCCACGCCATGATTACGCTGCCAGAGGAGTACCTGGGCCGCGTGATCGAGCTGTGCGAGGGCAGCAGGGGCGAGCAGGTCAGCATCGAGTTCTTCCACGCCACTCAGGTGATCCTCAAATATGACCTCCCCGCGTCGGCCCTCGTCGATGACCTTTTCGGCAAGCTAAAGGGGGCCACAAAGGGCTACGCCACGCTTGACTACGAAGACGCCGGGTGGCGGGAGTCGCGACTGCAAAAGCTGCAACTGCTTGTCAACAAGAAGCCCGTCGACGCCATCTGCCGCGTCGTGCACGCGTCCCAGGTTGACCGCCTGGGCAAATACTGGACGGCCAGGTTCAAAGAGCACGTCGACAGGCAGATGTTTGAGGTGATCATACAGGCCGCCGTGGGGAGGAGGATCATCGCCAGGGAGACGCTGAAGCCATTCCGGAAGGATGTGTTGGCGAAGCTACACGCTAGCGACATTTCCCGGCGCAAGAAGCTGCTCGAGAAGCAAAAGGACGGCCGCAAGAAGCTGAATGCTATCGGCAATGTGACCATCGCGCAGGAAAGCTTTCAAAAGTTCTTGACCAAATAGAATTTGTAAGACCCGGCGACAGTCTCGAGCTCGAGACGGCCTTGGTCTCCTCGGGCTTTGCTTCCTCATGTCTACAGCCACGAGGAGTGGTGGTTTGGAAGAGCACTAAAAAGGGAAGTGGAACGTAGACTATGCGGGTGGAGCCTCATCACAAGAGCATACTTGCGTTTCCGACGCTGTATGAGAGATAATATTCAAACCCGACCCGAGTCCTCGGGAAATATGATGCAGACATTCCCTCAGATGCCATTCGGAACCCCGGGACTATCGTGTCAGCTTGCCCTGGCTCGGGCTATATCGCTTGCGGGGCAGTTGACGACAAGGCTCTAGCCCGATGTATTACTGAACAGCCACGTAATTTGCTCGTGCATGACGCCGCCAAGAGTAGCTACCAGCGTGGCCCCAGGAAACATGCCCAGTCCGTGTGAGTGCAGGTTCCGCCATGGGCATGTCGTTGCTTTCCTTCTGCATGCTGTTCTGTTCTGTTCTGGTCGGCCGCCGCGGGTACTGTCAATCCCATCCAAATATATGTCTGCGCGGGGTCGCGTACAATATTCGGCATGAGCGCGCGCACGAGGCTGAACGTTTGCATGTGGGGCAATTATGAACAGAATCCTGAGTCAAGAAGTCAGAACAAGAAGAGTTCGCTGTAGGATCTGGGCTAAACGGGGTCTCGTACATTTATCCTCACATGATCGCTCTGTTCCGAGGTAAGTCAAGGAAGAACTGTTTGCCGTTGGCAGGGTTGAGCGGCCCAACTCTCATCCATTGGCAGAAAAAGCCTGCATCTCATTCGCAGCCTCATCCCAACTTATGAGCGAAGGTATAGTACGTCACTGAGCAAAACCCGGACTAGGAGAATCTCGCCTCACTTAATAGGGTTTGCCTATTTGGCTAGGATGGTACACGGCCACACGCCTGTTCGATCTGTTGATCCGGAGATATCCCTCTGATCGGGGGAGACTGATCGTGAACACACAAGCACGTGAGGCCGACGACACGACTGCGTTGAGTCTCTTGCCAGTAGGAAGCCGAGGATGTAATCTATATAAGCTCAACACCGCTTGAGCAACGCTTCTTGGCCGTCATTGTGCGATTGTTCATATGAGGCTCGCCAACGTCCTCGCAATAACGGTTGTGTACTTTGCACGCATTTCACATTAACCGTGACGAAGTTCCGAAGTTATTTTCTTGTGCAAACTGTGACAATTCAAGCCTTGACATTTTTTTCACGCAACCGTATATCCGGGACCATCAGCACGCAAACACGATGTCACCAAAGCAAGTCACGATACTTCTTACACTCGCCACCTTCGCCCTGGCGTCATCCCCTGTCCCGATTTCCTCTTGTCAGAGGACGGAAACGAGCACAAAGGGGTCACGTCACGTACCACGTAACATGTAACCTGGTGACTAGTTCTTATACTCGTAAATGTCCATTTACATGATTCTCTAGTACTGGCGTACGAGACCATCATTCCAGACGAGCTCCCATGTTCGTATTAAATATTCAAAGATAGACAGACTCTCATCAATCCGGTACAAAACCTAAAAGTGATACCTCGGGGGCGAATGTTGCCCTGAGTTGTTGAAAACCGTAGATGGTAGTAGTTCGTGAATCATACCAACAAAAAGACACACCCCCCCCCCCGCTCGCTGTTTTTGCAAGTGCAGCAGTCTCCGGTTTGTGTTGTCAAGTCATCAAAACCTGCTTGCCGTAGACCCTCGAACACGCAGCAATGTCCCAGTTCTCCAGGTCCATGCCGCCCGAGTCCCTGAGCTCCCACACCCGCTTCATGATCCTCATGCTCTCGCCGACGGTGCCGAACTCGAGCAGGGGCCCCATCGACGACGCCATGTGCGTGAAGAGCTGCTCCTGTTCCCTCGTGGCCAGGCAGCCCAGGATGTAGAAGGGCCAGGTCAGGCTCTTGAGCACGGCCGGGCTCGATATGCCGTAGAGCAGCTGCATGGCGACGGCGATGCTGCTCGTGGCGGTGCGCACGGCCGCCGCCCAGCCCGTCACGACCACCGACAGGTAGGCCATGGAGGCGAGGGCCCAGATCCTCGTGGCGGCCACCTGCTCGTCGATGCGCATCTGGTGTGCGGCGTCGGGCCGGTAGTAGGACCGCAGGACCGAGGTGATGTCGAAGGGCCTCTTCTTGAAGCTCTCCCTCTCGAGGCGGGCGAGGCCGCTCTGCAGCCGCTGGTGCAGCCTGCTGCCGTGCTCGGTCAGCTCGTTGAGGCAGAAGGTGCCGCGCGCCTTGTTCTCCTTCTTCCAGGCGTCCAGCACGGCGATGTCGGCCACGACCAGCAGGACCCAGCCCTGGCACCCGAAGAAGCTCTCCATGCGGAGCATCTCGCAGGGCATGTTGGGGGTCTCCTCCTGGATGATGAGGTTGTGGTAGTTGCGCAGCCTGGGCGGGCTCTCGAGGGACGTGGAGGCTATGATGTCGGTGTAGAGCAGGAAGGCGGAGAAGAAGCGGAAGGCGCCCTGGTCGCACTGCCAGACGACGCGCTCCATCATGCCCTGGTTCCACGAGGGCCTGCTGAGGGCCTGGATGACGGCGGGGATGTCGGGCTTGCCGTCCGGGCCGACGCCGTACTCCTCAAAGACCTCCTGGAAGATGGCCATGGCGGCGGACAGGTGGACGTTCCAGTCCGAGGTGCGGGCCATGGAGTGCTCGAGGATGAGCAGCTGGATGATGCTCTCCATGGTCTTGCCCTTCTGGAAGATGGTGGTCTTGCCGTCCTGGCCGCGCTTGAGGTCCTCCATGTCCTGCTGCATGGCGCGCACCGCGGTGTCGACGTGGGCGACCAGCTTGTTCCAGACCTGCTGCGAGCACACCTGGTGGCGCTCGCCGCCCTTGAGGATGAGGGTGAAGAAGTAGGCGCTGAGGCTCATGCCCGAGTGGAAGAAGGCCGTGTTGCTGCGCAGCATCGCGAGCAGCCAGCTGCGCCCGCCCTCGAGCACCGACGGCTGGTAGAAGGGGAACAGGAACGGGAACACGTAGTCGAGGAAGGTGATGGTGAAGTCGGTCTCGACGTCGATGGCGATGGACCGGTCGCGCTCGTTGTCGATGCCCAGCAGCTTCCACACCGTGTACTCGTGCGCGGGAGGCAGGGGCGGCGCCACGAAGCCGTCCGTCACGCAGTCCGGGCACACGGGCGGCGACCTCTCGCTCGAGCTGGGCGGGCTGGTGCCGGGCGTCATGCTCATGCTCATGCTCATGGCCTCGCCGCCCGAGGCGTCACTCCTGCTCTCGTCGCCACTCGCGTTGTTGAGCGACGAGAAGCTGGGCCGCTGGTGCACGCTCTGCATCTGCGGCCTGTGCGGCGCCGGCCTCTCCTCGGACAGGTCGTCTGGCCTCCTCATGCGGTCCTCGTGCAGCGTCAGCACCTGGACGTACTGCCTCTCCCTCCGTGCCTCGGCGCCCTGCCGCACCTCGGCCTTGATGCGCTTGGCCATCTCGTTCTGCAGGTCGCCGCCGTCCATCCACTCCGGGCGGGCCTCGCTGTAGTGGCATGTGATCTCCAGGGCGGTGCAGGCATGGCAGCGGGGTTTTGTGCGGTCACACTTCTTGCGGCGGACGCGGCACGTCCAGCACGATGGGGGCTGATGCAGCGGCGGTGCATGTGATGGTTGCGAGTGGTGAGGTTGAGGGAGAGCCGAGTAAGACATGATTATTCCAACTCAGCCCACAGCGGCTCTGCAGCCTTCCGGGACGCCGCGCTGCGTGGGCGGATGTCTGCGGATGTCTGCGTCTGTCTGCGGATGTCTGCGTCTGGCGTCTGGCGTCTGACTCTGACTCTGACTCTGACTAGTAACAGTAAGTAGTACTGAGTAGTAGGCGATTGAACTTTGTCTCTGCTCTCGGGCGAATGTAGTCAGAATCCACTGGGTCGTCCGCTGGAGAGAGGCGCGCGCTCTCCCTCTCTTGTGTGTCTCTCACGGCCTCTTGTCTATCGATATGAGGGTGCGTGTGTGTCTGTGGTTGTGCGTGCAACCGCTATGTGTCTCACGTGGGATGGGCTTTGTCAGGGAGCTTGTATGTAGGATGGAACTCTGGAGATGCTTTTGCTCCATGGACCACATGTCGTTGTGCCATTGAGGTGTCGTCAAGCCACAGCCCGGTGGACAGAGCCGATCTGTGGGCCCCGGAGCCCCAAGCTTGGCCTGCACGCCTGGCGTTGATCAGGATAATTAAGGTTTTTCATGCCTTGGATTTTCGAAACGCATCTGTGTACCGCACATCAGGCCAGAGCAGGCGGGCACAGGCAATAGCGTCCTCGCGTTTCAGGGGCATACCTGGGAAGGAATAGCCTGCACCACCCGGGGGGGGGGAGGGAGGGAGGGCTGGACCACTGCTGCGTGCTGGGGCCCGTCTCTTCTTTCTCCGTCGGCCGAATAAACCTTGCTGTAGACTAGATAGCTGGGCGCTACGCTGTTCTCCGTAGATTTGACTTAAGAATTGACTCTGGTCCATGTCCCAAGCCACTGGTCTAGATCCAACCGATGTCATGGGCTGTGGGCCGTGGGTTCGTAGCTGGAACATTGTCCCGTCGGAGATTGCCCAACAGTCTTTGGGCACACCTAGACGCATACATGCCTATAATTGCTAAGAACTGTAATCTTCCCTGGTGATCCTCATGTCTACATACGTGCTGTGTGCAGTGTGTGCTATTTACACGCAGACACAGACCGCAGCTCGGGCAGGGCAGAGGCAGGATGAGGCAGGCATAGACACTGATGTTCCCATCTCACATGGGCCCGCATGTCTCCAGAGGTGGGCATAACATGTCGCCCAACCAGTCAATCTTCACTTGACCACACGCACCACATGCACATGATAGACCATATGGGTAGTTCCAACGGTAACAAACCCCCTAGGACCACCCCAGCTGCGGCCGATGCACCCGAGTTTGACAGAGAACCATGACAGGATCCATCCCCATCATGCATTCTTACCCGGTGGGTGTCTCCAATGTAGCAATCAGCCCCGAAGAGGGATGGCCCAGCGCGACGGGTCTCTTACACCCATGCAGAACTGACTCGAGCCGTTGGAACGAGCGTCCACGGCCACTCACAACCGCCCTGCCGCCCAGGCCGCCTTGCCCGCCAGACCCGCCAGCCGGACAAATTATAAGAGCGGCTTGGCACCGTTGCTCCTGGGCTGGCTGCCGGGGGGAGGGGGGAGCACTCACTCTGAATGCTGGGCTCCTCGCCTACCAAGTCCTGCACGGTCTTGGCTGAGATGTGTGCCTGGCCCGAGGCTGATGCTTCTATTTTCGGCGTGTCATTCACCATGGTTCAACGGACCCCAAAGTCTGTCCACAAGTGGTATGGCGAAGAGATCTTCACTTATGCCTTCGTAAAGCTGCACGTCTTGGGTTTAACTCGAGAACATATTGGACGACGGGGGGAAACAAAACCCAGCTACTCACTTACTTGCAGGTGACGAGTCACAGGGCTGGGCGTGGACAGGGCACGAATAAATAGACTACTTGCTGTCCCTCTTGTAATTCTGGTAACAAGGTAATCTAGTTGGTGTGAAGATCACACATATAGTATAATTATAGATCCGATCTATTACAATGTCATCTATCCGTCCACGTGGGGATGCACCACCGGCTAGATTGACCTCTTCTGACGAATGTCCACCCCGATGCCATACCAGTAGTCGCACCTCGCCATCAGTTCGGAGCCCGCCAAGCTCTCCATGCTTGTCGCGCCACCCGTGTCAAACAGAATCCGCTGCTGGGTCTTGTCATCCCACGCCTGCCACTCTGCCGTCCCGTTCAGCCGGTACGTGTTCGGATCGTACGACCTGATAAAACTGGTCCAATATGCCTGCACCACCGGCACCGCGTACGCGTTGGTCCCGTTGGCGTAGTAGCTGAGCGGCGAGTTGTTGTTGGTGTTGAGCGGCCCAAAAATGGCATTCAACTCGACCGTGTGCGGCACGCCCTCGCCCGCCGCAACCTGCGCCGGGTCCTCGACATTCCACCGGTAATGCCAGCTCTGCGGGACGCCGTAGTCGACATAGGCGGCGGTGACGTACAGCCCGGGGCACATGTAGCGCATCTCCCCGTACGTGTCCGCTGCCTGGCGCCAGTAGCAGCCGACGTTGGGGCACGTGTCGTTGGGGTTGGGATACAGCTCGTTGATGGCCGCGAACTGCTCCAGGGTGACGTAGGGGAACTGGTTCCGGATCCACACGTTGCTCTGTGCGAGGGTCGAGGTGTCCTGGGGCGCGAAGGAGGTCCCGCCGTTGGTGTCGTCGCCAACTATGATGGGCACCTTGACAAAGTTCCCGTCCGCAAAGGCCGTGTATGTCAGCTCCCGGATCAGGTCCCCATCGATGACCGGGTTGTACATGTACCGCGGCTCAGACGCAGCGCCAGGGTACGGGATGTTGTAGTTCGCGTCCTGGAGTTCCACGGCAGTCTTGGAGCGCAGGCAGGCCAGGGATTCGTGGGAGCTGCCGACGCACCCCAGCCGCAGCGCAAGGTTGTCGTACTGGTACTGGCTCTCCTCGACCGTGAGGACGGTCGCGAACGAGACCGATTCCGCGGCGGCAGCGTGGAACAGCCCGTCGTCACGCCCTCCGAACGCGGCCAGGTGCAGGCTGATGCTCGCAGCCCCGGCCGAGTCGCCGCCCAGGACCACATGCCCGGGGTCCCCCCCGAACTGCGCAATGTAGTCCTGGACCCACTCCATGGCCTTGCGCTGGTCGTACAGCCCATTGTTCAGCTGCAGCTCATCCCCGTTGGTCAGGAACCCGTACGGGCCCACGCGGTAGTTGACGGTGACCACGATGATGTTGTTCCCAGACGCGTTGACCAGGCCGGTGCCGTTGAGGTTCGCATTGGAGTTCTCGTTGAAGCCACCCCCCTGGATGAAGAAGAAGACGGGCAGCTTGGACGCCGTGGTTGCGTTGCTGGGCGCATAGATGTCTAGGAACAGGCAGTCCTCCGAGGTGTCGGTTGCATTTGACGGCTTGCCGGTGCCGAGACAAACCTTGCCATGCTGGAGCCGAGTAGCACGTCAGTCCCTTGCGTTCGCGACCATTGGGAGACCGGCAGCTTCACACCACCGCCCTCAGGAGGCAGACAGACATACCTGGTTAGCCGGCTGTGGGGTGCTGACCACCGCGGGGTCCTGAGGCCGCGCGAAGCGAAGGTCCCCGAGGGGCGGCGCTGCGAAACGGATGCCGAGCCATTCAGTGACCCCCGTGCTCGACTGTGCTGTGCCTATATAAGTCGAATAGTCGAGGCTGACCGTCACGTCGACTGCTTGTGCCGGCGAGGGTGCGCTGGCAAGGAGGGCGAGCACCACCGCCGAGGCGGACGAGGAACTAGGGAATTTGACCATTGTGGGCCGGAGGGGAGGAGGAGGAGGCTGAGAGACGGATGGCAGCTCGACGTACAAGACCTGGCCTGATCCAGCACTCGTACGCCCCCGGCTCCAGCTGGCCCCAGGAGGCCAGCACTCATTATATACACGGCGTGCATGAGGCCATGACGACGACAATGACCCTCCCCACGTTCTGCACGGTGATAGCTGCACCGAGACAAAACTTCAGGGCCCGTCCGCGGCGTGAACGAGGCAACCGGGCCGACTTTGATTGCTCCCAAGAGCTCGGTCCCCACAGCACCTGCTAACCTGCACGTTGGTCTAGCGAGTCAACAGTACCGTGTGCCGGGATGAACTGGTGTTTCCCTCGCTATAGACAGCCCATGCTGGCCTGTCGGGCGGGGCAGTTCTGTGCTGACCGTGGCCCCGGTTGGGCAGCCTGCCTCAAGCCATGCACATCATGTGGCCCGGTGTGGGGAGAAGTTCCCACCCTCCCACGGGGTCCCCAGACACCTAGATGTGACCTCGGCAGTCGTCCGTTGCACCTAATAACAACAAGGCCACATGGCGGGACATGGGGCACGCGGTCCGTTGCCACCGGACGGTCGATTGGTGTTGCTCTGCCACGTTTTGACGCTCCAACGAGAACTCAAGATCATGATGTCCATGACCGCCTGGGCAACATGTACGGTATTCGTAGTGGATGCGGCACTTGGTGCAGGAGCCCTCCCAGCCGGTCCAATACAAGGAGGTCATCAGATCCCCCTGCCTATCCGGTATGGACAGCAAGAAATTGCCGCACGTGGTGCCGACGCTGTGGGCGGACCCAGAGCTTGTTGTTGGCGCTTCTTTTTTGGCCTTGGCCAGCCCCATGGGCCGTCCTGCAAGTACACATTACACACACAGTCTGGCAATACGACCTGCAACTCGACTGAGGTACCCAACCAAGTGTGTGCCCACCCGGCCATGTTCGTGCGCCCGAACGGGTCCCAGAGGCCGCTTCCGGTTGGCTGCGGGGTCTCACCGTTCCTGCTGATCACCGCAAGCTTATTGCTTGTTCCTCAGGTCTATGTGTCACCGCAGAGCGTGGTGGCAGCGTGGCCAGCTCCGCGGCCAAGGCTCACTTGCGGGCTTGGCTCTCCTGGGAGTAGTCATGTCTCCTGCGAGTGCCCCACCGTTCGGGCCCTGGCCCAATGTTTGGTACTGCACAGTAATCCGGGGACCTCGGAATCGACTTGTTGGCAGTAGCGCGAGATCATTTGTCGCTTTTGTATCGGACTCGACCGATCAAGAGACCCAGGCTGCTGGGTGCGTGATAAGTCATTCCACAGTAGAGTGTCCGAGGCGGTGCTGTTCCAGGATGGATACTTTTTCCTTTTTTTTTTTTTTTTTTTTTTTTTTTATTAACTTGATTCGTGTTCGACCGATCGAAGAAGTGAGAATTGGGCGATGTTTGCAGGCGCCGCATCTTCTTTCCAACGAAGATGGGCAGGGAACGATAGTTGGATCCTGCTACCCGACAGCAATACAGTAAGTCTTTCATTTCAACCGATTCTTACCCGGCAGACACAATACGACTTGGTTCAGCCCAACATCAGGACGGACATGATTGGTGTCCATCGGACATGGAACGAGTCTCCACGGAAAGTGCCATTGTTTCGTTCTCCCAGGTGTGACAGAGCAGAGGCCAGGGCACCTGCGCACCATCTGCCCGGCTCTTCCACCCCACACCTCAATGACTTTGTAATGCTAGCCGACGATCATGCACTGTGGCACTTGATTCGTAGCTGCCTCAGTCGGTTGTTGGGAGCGGGTAAGTTCATTTCACAGCATGCTATCGTGGTCAGTCTGTTACACTTACTCACCCAGACTGTACTTTACAAGAGGATTAGACCTCGTGGAGGTCAGGTCATGTAGCGGCAGGACTGAGAAGCAAAGTATCGAGCAGGGAGGTCTCCGCAATTTTTGTATGTAGCCTTGCTTCCAGGGACGAGAACAGGCGGGTGAAGAGGGGAAAGCTCATCAGGGGCGTATCGGTACTATTCTAGCAACGAATTGTGAGGCGGGGTCAGCAGCGTCAATGCCAGTGAGAGTCTGGCATCTACCTCGGCATCGATTAGGCCCTACTAGTACTAACCGTTATGAGCACGAGTGCCACGTTGTAGCTTGGGCCAAGCTTGAAACCGTGAGGGCAGGCTGAGCCTCGCCAGATTGCCGATGCGAAACTTCAAACGGGTCACAGAGTTGAGACGATCCCGACCCAGCATTGTCCAAAGACGCAGTGTCTCGATTTGGAAGCCCAGTGAGATGGCCTTGGCAGGGCAGGGCAGGGCCGTTGAAGGGACGGGCGGAGACGTGTCACTTGCATGTCTTGAGGAGGGCCCATTGATCACAATGTCGATCGATCGAAGAGATCTGGGGAGTCTCGGAATCTGTGGGCGAGGGATCGACTCCATGGCACCGGTATCACTCGGACAAATAGCCCAACAGGAGATAAAAACAAAAAGGATAACAAGGGAAAAGAAGAACGAGAAGAGAAAAGAAAGGCCATGCTTCTACAGTTACCGGTAAAATGCAGGCACAGAGATGATTGGTCCAGTCCCAGAAACTCCACACATCCAAGACAGAAACCAAGCCGATTCGTAGGCTGCCGTGTCACACTGTCCAAGACGCTGGGATCGCCCTTAGCGACATCTGTGCGTGCTGCAGTGTTCCCTGAACTGGCTCAGGCCCCTAACCTTAGTGGCTGTGATCCCGACACCCTCAACTCGCATCGAACACAGTAGATACAACTCCGTAAATGCATGCATCGCTGGCTCCCTGCCTCCTCCCTGCCTAGGCCTGCTTTGGGAATTGCTCCACCCGGCAGACGAGGAGTTCCCAAGGGCTTGTGACATCTCCACCGGTCTCTTCTTCCGCCTCCTTGGCATTGACATGGATCGTTTAACATCGACTCGGCCTCTTGCATGCTGGTTTCCGACACTCACTCAGTGCTCCTCCAGACCGTGATCGTGAGGGAGACGTCGCACAAGGACCCTCACATTCCCTCGTGCATATACCTCGGCGCATTGCCCGGCGATTGAATGTCCATGTGCTGCCGGCCAGAGACGACATAACCTAGTCACCCAATCCAGCTTCTCGGTCGTCCAATTCGACCAGTTCCACCCAGTCCGCATTGGACCGTCGAACACAGAAAACCAACAAGATTCGGCCCAGAAACAGCCCAGGCGGCGACAGAGATTCGAGATGGTGTACTGCGGGAAGCCCTCTATGGGGTGCAGGACATGTAGGGCCAGGAGAATAAAGGTACGGTACAGTGTGCTCCCCTGTTCCCCTGGACGTTTATTTCCTTGGTGATGCGATGATGCATTTCATCGTCGGTCTGAGACGCATCGGTTGACCATGGCATATCACGCTCCAGTGCGACGAGACCCGGCCTGTGTGTAACCAATGCATCAAATCGCGCCGTCACTGCTCCGGCTACCGCTCCGACTTCGACATCCTCCACCGGGACGAGACACAAGCGACAGCTGCACGGGCAAAGAAGGCAGCGGCCAAGAAGGCGGCCAAGAGGGCTGCCGAGGAAGGGGGCATCATCATCACATTTGACCCGGCCCCGGAATCGAATAAGGGCGCCGGCGGCGGCAGCAGCAGCACCAAGAACTCGTCCATGCTCGTCGCCGGTTCCTCGTCACAGCCCTCCTCGCCAACGCCTTCACCTGCGACCTCCGCACCGGGCCCTTCATCGACAGCAACATCAACAGCACAGGCCTCGCCCCTCGAGCTGTCGTTCCCGGCAGCCGCCCCCGCCGTGCCTCTTGACCAACGCGCAAGCCATTTCTTCGCGTGGAACTTCATCATGGTGCCCGGCCAGCGAGGCAAGAATTCGGGCCACCTCGACTATCTCCTGCCCCTGCTCAACTCCCAGACCCGGCCCGACAGCGCCTTCCAGCTCGCCTACAGCGCCGTTGCCCTGGCCGCCATGGGCAACCGCTTCAAGGGGGACTCGACCGACCTGGTGGAGCTGTCCTTCATGCAGCACTCGCGGGCCCTGGTTGCGATCCACAGGGCGCTCAAGGACCCGGCCGAGAGCAGGCACGACGGCACCCTCGCGACGGTGCTCCTGCTGTCGCTGTTCGAGAAGATCACGGCCGCCAAGGAGGTCGGCCTGCTCGCCTGGCGCACCCACATCGAGGGCGCCATGCACCTGGTGAGGTCCCGCGGCCGCGAGATGGTGCAGAACAAGGACTCGGTCCTCCTGTTCAACGCCGTCCGCCTGCAGATCATCGCCCGCACCCTGTCGTCCGGCACGTCGTCCGTCATGGGCGTCAACTGGTGGCTCCCCGAGTCCGTCGCGGCCGACTCCATCGGCGCTCGCTACCAGCGCTTCGCCCTCGAGGTCAGCGACCTGCGGGCCGAGGTGACCCGTCTGATGGCCACCCTGTCCCGCAACGACCAGGGCCTGGAGCTCATGCTCGAGATGCTGCGCAAGGTGCAGGACCTCGACCTCCAGATGGCCAACTTCCTGCGCGGGCTGCCCGCCGAGTACCAGTTCACGCCCCTGTACTGGGAGGACAAGGTCCTCGGGGACGGCGAGGTCCGCCACGCGCCCGTGTATCCCGGGCGTGTCGACGCCTACTCGGACCTGATCGTCGCCAGCATGTGGAACGCCACGCGCGCGACCCGCATCATCCTCATGTCGCTCCTCATCCGCGTCGCCGCCTGGATCTGCAGCCCGGCCGACTTCCGCTCCACGCCCGAGTACGCCACCGCCGTGCGGACCTGCAAGGCCAACATCGCCGACATCATCTCCTCGGTGCCGTACATGCTCAGCATGCACCAGAAGGACGCCCAGCGACCCAGTGCGCCGGCCCCGGGTGGCTTCGCGTGCGGGACTGACGAGCAGAGCAAGATGCTGGGCGGGCTCATGGTGGCCTGGCCGCTGAGCACGGTCAGGACTTGCGATTACACCATGGATGAGCAGCGCGAGTGGGCCATTGGCCGGTTGAACTTCATCGCGAGTGATCTTGGCATCAAGTACGCCAGCAGTCTGGCTGCCGTAAGTGCCACCCAATCAATCACTCGTCACTCCTGCGACTCTGTACTAACCTGCTCACCTAGGCCAAAATCCGCTTCCCATCCATGCTCATCCGTAGGGATGGGCTCATGCCGACCAAGGACCCATTGATGGATATCAAGCAGACACTGTCTACCAAGATCGCCGTGAGATAGATACTGCGTACGAATCTCACGTCTGCGGAAGGTAAGCCACCAGATACTCAGCCTCTCGTGGGTACTGGTAAGGCGTCTCCGCCCACCAAAGCCACCTCCACCAAGGCAGGGTGAAGCTCCTGCTTGTAGACGAGGTCATTGGATGCCGGCATTACTTGGCTATGTCTTGATTTCCCGCACATGTCTCTCAGGCACGGGCATCTTGAATCATTTGTTATTCCTTCTAATTTCTGGTCCGCGACACGGTTGGACGGCGCTTCTTGAAGGGAATGGTTGGCGTTGGGGGCAGAGCATTGAGCCGTGTCGCAGATACCCGGGTTATTAGACTACGGTGGAGTACAGGCGCCCTTGTCGTGGCGATCTCATGCAGTCACTTCATTTCTGGTTGATATTCTACGTGACGAAAGGAGGGACATCGGAAGCAGCAGTTCCGTCGAGAACAACGTGCTGCTATAAAAGGCCTGACAGATACAGCATATGTGAATATTGTCTGAGGCCGCACGCTCACAGCATTTTCATGCTTGATAACTTCACAAATGTACAATCATCGTTCGAACAATACGTTGCTCCATATAACTACCCAGATAGGTGGGGTTTTATCCATAGTGACCGCTTTTCTGATTCGATCAATTATTGATTTATACAAACAAAACACGATGCCGTGTCGTCGAGCGGGCCTATAAGGTATATCCACGATGGGTATCGGAATTTGTAAGAATACAGGTGTTACCGAAGACCGAAAAGGACATCCTGATTTAAGAGAAAGACCTCTATCGACTGTCGGGACGCGAAAGCTATACCTTTGTAGAAAGGATTCATGCATCTCCTGGAAAGATCCGCAGGGACATCAAAGCCAATATTTTTTTTGGCGAGCTGGCATGCCCCGCCCTTTGTTCGGTACGCGCTCTTGTAGGAAGAGCGACCGCCTATCCCGATGCGAGTGACTGCTTTATATAGTAGTATCTGGTCCGGTCTCCTCTACTCAGCAGACGTTGGCTTCGATGCTTTGTAGACCTGGCACGCTTCCGACGGCGTAGAACTGTGTCGTAAGGGTGACGAGCCCCGGGGGAGGTGCATCAGGGAGATGTTTTGACAATGTGGGTGTACCAACACACATATCACATGATGACAGCACAAGGGTGGCACACCCGGGCAGGCAGGCCTCGTGTAGCCTGGCAGAGGTGCATTGCAGTCCAACCAGTTCCATCAGCACGGCACTCCGAAACAGGTATTGGCGTGACACATTCTTGGAAGCCGGTCCCACTGCGCTCAAAGATTTTGACTTCGCTGCTCGTAATGAGCATGGTAGTTTCGAGATTGGGAGTGGCAGAAGAAAAGCCGCAGCGTGCACTTATCTGGGCACCCAGGTATCAAGACCACGGGTTGTTCCTCAGGGAGGACGACACACGAGCCTTTAAGATCCATCGGCTCCTCAATTTAAACATCGTTGAATGAGCAACCTTTACACACCTACAGATCCTGACTCAACTAATGCCCGGGGGGCCCAGGCAAGGCCAGCCACCTGGGAAACTCTAGCCTTGCAAGGGACATGTCGTGACGTTATTCTCAAATCCGAGCCCAGCGGCTGCTGCGCACAAGATGCCGTATGTCCGTGATGTCAGCACTGGCGCATGTGTCGCTCAAGTCGAGGTACTTCTGGAGTTTCCTTTTTCCTATAGGGAAACAGGAGGGCCCGTAAAGGCAATTGTGCTTTGTTGGTTTAGCCCGAGATGTTGATACCATTTCCATCCAATGCCTTTGCTTGTCTTTTACGGAATAGAACAGTGAAGTTTGAACATACTGCAGCATCGAGACATACCGCGACAGTCCTTTTTCAAACCGGGAGGTGGCCATGAGAAGAACGAGCAAGTGGATACGGAAACTTAACGCCGTCAGTCATGTTTCTTTGCTAATGTCGGGCCTTTGTAGCCAGCTGAAACTGAGGCGATTTCTGAGCCTGATCTCTTGGCATCTATTTGCATACAGCCTACATAGTGTGCACCGTAGTAGTACTTCTCCATAATCATCTGCCGAAGCGGCACATCCAGATTGCCACCGCAGGATCCACTGCTTAGATGGCCTGATGGATCATTCGTCATCGAAGCCCAAGAACTGGTTGACTCAGGCCGTGACGAGTCATGTCTGGCTTGACTCTGGCAGGGGCATGTGTGGTTCAGTGCTCCGGCGGCCTACCCTGACGAGATAATGACTTCTCCAAACAGGGACGAGAGACGGGACGACGATGAATTCGTGTCCATGGGGAGGGAAGGCCCGGGATCTGTTACGGGATCTCCATACGAGGAGAATATCAAGCTCTGCATGCGGGTGATCCGACCATACATAACATGTACAGTCTGAGCACAGATACAACATTTGAAAGCAGAAGGGATCATCGTACGGGTGGAGCCACAGACTGCCCAGGCAGAGGACGTCGAACGACCTGTGTGCTGCCTAGTAAGATGTATTGAGGCTCTGTCTCAGCAGGAGCTGTATCGTAGACTCCCAGAATCACGATGTGCAATCATGGGCCCAAGAGCGAGGGCATTGTAGTCATCATACCAAAGCGTTCAATTTTCATCATTGTCTATGCGATGCCGGCGTGCTCGTGTGCACTACCGCAGGATATCATTACCAAGCACAAGCTCCTCCAGGTCGCTCTTCTCCTCCCACTCTTCCCGTCGGTGCCGTTGAATGACAAAATGGCTCGTCACGGGCACGCTGTCGCCAAATTCGCCACTGGTCTCAGCTGAGGCTCCAGCTCCATCAGGGCTTCGCCGCTGGTGGACGGCGCCAGGCAGCCCGATCCCGTTTGCCGTCACGTACGCATTGCCTCGCATCCTGCTCTGATTACCCGTATACCTGATCACTCCGTCGTGATCGACCGTCTGGGTCAGCTGCGCATAGCCGCTGGTCCCTCCTGTGCCCCCGCTGCCCTTTCCCAGTGCGTTGGCGTTGTTGCCGTTCCCACCTTCGAATAGGCCCCCGGTCGGCACTCCGATGCGTGCATTCCTGTGAGCTCTGGTCATCTCGACGAGCGAGTTCAGGATGCTGAATTCCAGCTTGAGTTTGACGCTGTAGGCCATGCCCTTGTACGCCGTCTGTATGACATACAATCCTGCGTATTCCAGGGCCAGTATCGTGATGTCCAGGACAACGACCACGACGTTGATCTTGATAAGGTGCCCAAGGAAACGTCTTGCGGAGGCGGAGCCTTTCGCGGAGCACGATGACCGTGACTTGTCCCTGAGAAGCCTCGTGGTGGCGACAATATATATGGCGGATATGGCGAGTTCTTGGAGGAAGAAGATGGTGACATGGATCCGCTCCATGATAGCATAGGGCTCCAGCCATCGATCCGGATGCGGCAAGTTTGACCCATAGAGCACGACCGAGGTGGGAACGTGCCCGATGATGGCGTTAATGACTATGCAGACCAGTGTCGTCCTCAGTATCCTCTTGTCCCGCACCAGCAGATGCATCCTGCTGAAGAGCACCATGGACTGGCCCGTCACCATACATATCCAGCCGACGACGATGAAGGTGCCGTAGACGAATCCGTTTCGGATAAAGCTGAGGTCCTTTGTGAGGAAGCCTACCGAGTAGACGGCGATCCCCCACGTCGCTACCACGAAGCTCCAGAAGTAGAGACCGGTCCGCCGTGGGAAGGCGCTGTAGATGATGACATTCAGCTCGATAACATTGTAGAAGGCCACGGTGAGGAAGCACTCGACTATCGTGGCGGCTGGGCCCGGATCGAGTCCGCCTTTGCTGATCCCAAGGTCTGAAAGGGCCATCCGAGCGTGGTGTTGGCCCCCTCAAGAGGACGAGGTTCTGATCTGGTCCTGAGGCCGGGGCCCGGAGAGTGTCGACAGTGGAAGCCCTCTTTCTTCTCGATGACGACAAAATCAAGTCCAAGCTGTCATGGTGGTGATGCTGCGGCGGCGGCGGCGGCAAGGGCCTCTCTCATGTAGGTTCTTGGGTTTGGGCGGCCAGACAAACAGAAACAGTCGAGCGTCTGGTCAGCGGAAAGTCGGGTCTGCCGCAGAACTCACACAGATGCGCAGAGCACGCCCTTGTTACTCTGGACTGCGTTACCGCTGCAGGCTGACAGCATGTTCGGCCTTTCCTCAGCCTGAAAACAGTCAATCAGATCCGACGAAGGGATCGCTGGGGCACTTTTAGGCGCATCGGATACCACGAGCATGACTCGCCTGTCGGGCATTTACCGACATGCACCAAGTCTCTTTGACGATGCCGGCCCAATGCAGTTGCGCTGGGTATGTGGTATTGGCATGGAATTCGTCGAAACCTTCCTTGGACTGTGCCACAAAGGCTTTTTTTCTGTAGGGGCTCCACCAGCCGAGCAAGTGTCGAATCGCCGACCGCAGTCGCGGGGAGGATCGTCGCGGGCCCGGAGAGGGATTGAAGGGGTCATCCTAACCTCGAGCCACTGCCTGCATACGAGGCCTGCCCTGACGTCCTTGATAGGCTGTCAAGGCCTCGATCGTCTGCTGGGCCCTGAGATCGTGCTTGAGTCGGGCATGTCACCCTCGCTGTGCCTAGATGAGTCGAGGGTACTTGCACCCGCGCGAGCTTCGTCTAATCAATCTACACGTGTGGGCAGTCATGAGAAACCCTGCCCCGTCCGTAACCTCGATCCCAAAGGAAAGGGGAACACATCAATCATGGACAGTTGAGTAATTATATCTGATTCGCTTGATAGACTGAACACGCACGATATGGTACGCCCTCTTCACCGACTCGTGTTTCCTCAGGCCGGCCCAGTGCATGACCACCACCACGGTTGTATGAAACTATATACTATATGGCCGAAAAGCTACCGACGTGCCAGGTGCTAAGCAGGCCTGACAACCAACCAACTATCAACCAGGTTCAAAGGTGGTATCTACCCGGTTGACGGTAGTCGGATAGATGGCGTCATTTGACATCGCCCACACCGAGAACACGCACACATCGGCCATAGTCTGGCAATAACGCATGCCTAGTAGGGAGTGCAACATTGGATGGTGGGGGTATTCATGGTATTTATGGTATTGGTATTGATAGGTAAATAAATATATACATACGCTGCAGTAAAATACGGCAGGTGAACTATGTTTGGAAGAGCGTGCACGATCCGAGGCCCTGCCAAAACCGTGGGCGGGAATGGCGCGGGCAATGCACGCACGCACTTTGTTTCCCCTCAAAATGGCAAACTCAAAAAAAAAAAACATCAGCCTGTCGGAGCAGTCGCCGCTCGGGACCACACCTGCTTGATGTAACACAGACTCAACAAAAGACACACACCCTCACCCTCTCATCGACCATATGCCCTGCAGCCCAAACATGGCATGGGCATGATATCGCATGGGCATCTCACGATACAATGCTTATGACGTCGCCTTGGCGGCCCAACCGAGTCGCTTGGCGCCGCCGTCGAACACCACGAAGGCGGCCTTGAGCGCGATGTCTCCGAAGATGGAGATCCCGATGTCAGCATCCGACTGGAGACCTCCATAGCACGTCTGGTTCGAGGTGTCGACCGGCGCCCAGTTGATGAACTTGCCGGGGATGGTGATCTGGCCCTCTCCCACGGCAAACGTGAAGTCGGGCAGCGTCGCGTCGCACGAGAAGACGTACCCGCCCTCCTGCTCGCTGTCCTGCGCGCCGTCCACCTGGCTGTAGTACGCGGCCACCACCTCGTCGGGGAGCATGAGGAGCGTGGTGCCCGTGTCGGCGATGCCGGTGATGGACGCCGAGGTGAGGGAGACGGCGCGCTTGCTCGCGGCCCCGGCGGTGACGGGCGCGTGCTGGCGCGTGGGAGGCGCAGAGCGGGCCGCCTTCTTGTCCTTGCGGACCAGCTTGCTGAACCATCCGGCCCACACGGAGCTGGTGGAGTCACTACCGCTCCCCGTCTGGCCCTCCTGCTGCAGGGTGTCAAGCAGGTCGCCCAGGTCGCCGAGGTCGCCGAGGTCGCCGAAACCGCCGCCCGAAGATCCAGATCCAAACCCGGAGGAGCCGCTGCTACCGCTTCCAAAGCCGCCGAAGCCTCCGGTGGGGGCAGAGCCGGACCCGGACGAAGTGCCCGTGCCTGTGCTTCCGGTGCCTGTGCTTCCGGTGCCTGTGCTTCCGGTGCCTGTGCTTCCGTTCCCCGTGCTTCCAGTACCCGTGCTGCCCGTGCCAGAGCTCGAGCTGGCAGAGCCGTCACCCACGGCATAGCCCGTGGACTGGAATGACCAGAATCCAGAGTAGTCAGCGCTGCTGTTGAACAGGTCCACGTAGAAGATATCGCCCGTGTGGGCGCTGGAGTCGATGTAGCCAAAGTTGTAGCTGCCCTCGGCGTCGTGCTTCAGGTCGGCGGTGAAGACGGGCTGGGACAGCTTGGGCATGGCGTTGTCAAAGAAGGTGTTCTGGGCCTTGGGGGTGACGGTGTTGATGGAGCTGAAGGCCAGGCCCACGAGGCCCGACATCTTGGAGTCAGCCGTGAACTCGGACGACACTTGGGTCGCGCTCTCGACGGCCTGGGACTGGACGCTCAGGTTGCCGATGGTCACCAGGTCGGTATAGACGTTGCCGCTGGAGGACGACCCGTCGCCATAGCTGATCTTCCAGCTGGAGCCGTCCAGTTTCGAGGCGGTGGAGCTCTTGCCCGGGGAGTAGACGGCCTGCCCGGAAATACTTGAGCTGGACGTCTCGCTGCTGAACACCCACAGGTCCGACGACCCGGTGTCAAAGTCCATCGGCAGGGTCTGGGGCGGCGTGCCGATCTGGATGTTGGCGAGGTATTCGGTGTCATACTGCTCGGGGGACGTGCTGACGGAGCCCTCTGTTGTGGAGCGCTTGGTCGATGCCATGCCAACGCCAGCACGGTGATTCCTCACAATGGTCTGGAGACGGGTGGGCATCTCCCTGCCATACTTGGCGTAGACCTTGGCCAGTGCCACGGCAGGATGCTTCTTGGAGACGGTGTTGCGCTTCACGGGAACAGAAAGAGTCTGGCTGCCACGGCTCTTGACCGTGTCCGTGCGATGGGGCAGGCCAGAGGCGAGCTCGGCGCTGGCCGCCAGCAGCGCAACCAGGTACGCTCCAAAGGTCTGCATCGTGAGTGAGAAGAAAGATGTAAGGAGGTCAAAAGGTTGAATGAAACCACCGCCGGGGTGAGTAGCTTCCGGAGGAAGATGGAAGTCGTGAAAGAGGAAGAGGGAAGAAAATGAGAGGTAAGTAGCACAGTGGGGCGCGAAGGAGGGAGGAGAATCGAAAGAGGATGCCTTTTCCCGTCCTTACTGCGGATGGCAAAGTGGTGATTAGAAAATGACGATCCAAAAGAGAGCTGGATCGGAGTAGCAAGAGATGCCAAGCTGGATATATATACATATAAGACGTGAAATTGGGGCGGCAGCAGTTCGCGGTTCGGGGGGTTGACGAGATTGTGGGTAGGGGTGTGCGTGCCGATTCCGATTTCGTATACCCCTGGGACCCACGGTAGCCTGGATGGCAGGTACACGGCTTGCCTCGATAGAGAAAATCCCGTTGGAAAAGTCCAGCCATGGGCTCAGGCCGAAAGGAGGGCGATGTCGCCTCGGCAGGGGCGACGACGAACCAAGCCATTCGACGTACACCTCAGGCTGTGCCCCGAAACGGACTGCGGGCTCGTCATTGTTGACGTATTGCAACTTGGGACGAAAACCAATAAGAGGGACAGCTATCGTGTGCCCTCTGGGTGTCCATGCTGAGGGAACCGACGGCGCTGAGTGGTCAGGGTGAGGACATTAGGGGCCAGGGCTCCCTTCCAATGCGTGGGCGAGGACTGCACACAAAGGTATTGTGGACATCAGCGTTTCTGGCAGCAGCCCTGTTGTTTCCCCAGGAGCAGTGATCGACGCCAGGATCTGGTCAAGCTTTTAGGACAAGACGGGCAATCTGGGTGGAGACCTGGAAGCAGACAGACAGCATCTGGGCGGAATCCGTAGGCGGAGCGCCTCGGGCGACATGGGGGAAAAGGAGGCTCCAGGTTCAAAGTTGATGAAATGAAGTCGTGTGCTCCCTGTCGAATCCCCACATGGCTGCGCCGACATTCATGCGTGCGGGCTGGACATGTGTGACGGGTTGGCTGGCAGGCATTGCGGAGGCCGTCCAAAATAGAGTAGGGGGTTCCTCCCATCCAATGACAGCATGCTCATGGGCTGAAACATGAGACGAACAACACGTACGCGCCAGCGGCAACGGGCAAACGAGAAGGATGGCCGGACGTTGTGTTTTCCCCACTCTTGAAACAAGCCGGGATGTCGATTTCCCCCGGTCAGCTGCAAAGTCATCCAACGGACGCTCTTGTCCAAGTGTGATTGCACCTGGTCTAATTAGCATCTTTGTCACGAGAACCAATTACTATCTCACACGCGAGCACCAAAAGAGGGAGGCTCTGCGGGATTTGTCATCTCCAGCTGCCAGCCACCTCCGCAGCGCTTCCAATCCCTCCCTCGGCCCGTTCCACGGGATACACACATGTGCCTTGTTATATTGCCTGCGTTGCGGCTGAAAGCCACCGGCATCCAGGAAATTGCCCTCAACGCACGCATTAAGCATGTAGTCAAGTGTGTTTGCCATCTCAGGGGCGGATTGGCGCGAACCGCTACCAATGTCAAATTACAAGCATAGGTCTTTCCATGAGATGGTTCGATGGCAAAGTGACCGTCCCGTCTTCAGCCTTCCTAAAATCACATGATATAGTCTGTCGAAAATCACGCTTGTCAACCGGGTAGTCCATACAATATGAGTCGACGTCTAGTCAAGGCAATGGTACAATCACCTGGGCTATTTAGCAATTAGTGTTTGATCTCGTGATTTAGGGACATTGACCAAAATCGTCAGCCTTGAATAGATCTCACACCACTCTTTTGATAGATAAATCTTCCTTCTGGAGGAGAAGGACCTACAAACCTATGAACGGAGATGCAACGCAACTCATGGTCTTGGAGACATTACGGATACGGAGTTTGAACGAATCATTGCCTTGAGATGCCCCGTGCGGAAGCCAACTGGGGCTACAACACAATTGAGTCACATGTGAACAGCTATTCATAGCCTGGTATCTGAGATTCCAAAGGGAAACCGTTGTGGGCTGCCTCTGCCAACAGCAAGACGGATGGGAATTAAGCATTCTGCTGTAGATACATATGGGGTCTTCGAAAGACGTGGTTTCCAATTTGTACGGTACTTGGGTTTTGTTTCCCATGGTTGCATTAGTATAGACTACCCGATTCTCCGACTCGACCGGAAGAATTTACATCATAGCTTCTATTTGAGTGCAGGTAAAGCACAGGGGCATGAGGCACTACTCATGTCAATAATAGGTGGCTATTATTCAATACTCCCTGGGCACTCCGTTCTGAACATCGGGCCCTCCCGGGAGCAACTGAATATGCTTCTTACAGGTCGACAATCTAGTGATGCCTACAAGGAGCAGACCAGTCAGGGCCAGGGCAAGGTGTGCTTGTACCAGGTAGGCTCCATATTGCATGGATACCTTAGATTGCTCCGATGAGCATCTCTGCCAAATATTGGTGAACAGCTCCGCATGCGCGGATACACCATTTAGCCTCAACTTGACTTTCTTCCACCGTTGATATATCGAGACAACATAGATCCGAGACAGCCTACAGACACATAGTCCTTTCTTTCCCCCACCGCCTGTTGAACCTAGCTGTTCCGTGCATGGCAGGCAGGGTTCGTCCCCGGCGGATGTATCATGAGTCCGTCTCTCCCATTCTTGACACAAGTTCCGGCATGCCGGGCTTGGCTGGTTCGGTTTAATTGTTAGGCATTTGCTATGTTCCGTCCAACGATACTAGATGGGTATCCCATAAGATCTCGGCTCAATGGATAGAGATCAACAAAAGAAAATAAAGCAGGTCAAGCATGCTGGAATTGCATCCCTGTTGAGGAGCCCGAGAACCCCTGCCTAATTCCCATATCTGTGCGCCAAGCAATGAGGCTCTTCATATCCCGGCCTATTGTGTCTCCCAAGCTTCAAACCCCATTTCCATGTCGTCTTCCAAGTTGCCATCTGTTGTCCCTCTGGCGACATGTTTCCCTACGGATCCCAACGACTCTTTCAGGGACATCCGTCTCTCGCGGCTGCGAGGTGTCAAATTCCATCAGTGACCCTGCCCGGCTCGTATCAGGTCTTGCAGGGAGCCGCGCACGCAGGCTCCAACTTGCTCGGGTTGGGCAGATATTTGGTCATCAAGTATAAGACCTGGTCACACTCCCTCCACGCGGAAGCAATATGAAAACCCGGACTCTTGCGTATGCCTGGCGTCGTCTCCATGTCGCACGGACGGTCATGCATAAATAACTAAAGTGTCCTGCTCACGACTCGTCGGCCAAGAGGCGTCCGCGCTGGGTATTTCAAGACATGTAGCGCATCCTCTCTCAGCCGACTCTTCAGTCGATCTTCCAGTGGTCCACCTCATCCTTGCCCAGGTACAGCTCGATGGCGTAGAGGCCCATGGTGGCGGCCACGTTCATCCACCGCCACAGGTTGCCGCCAGCGTCGCCTCCCCTAAGAGTCCAGCCGATGCCGTCGCCGTCCATCGCCGCGACCGAGAAGTGCTGTAGCAGCAGGCTTGTGTACACGGCGATAAGGATGGAAGGCGAGAACCACGACAGGAAACTCATGAGCTTGTTCGCCGCGTCGGAGGAGTCATCCAGGTTGGAGGGCTCGTCCATGAGCGCCCGGGCACCCGACTCTCGCACCGCTGGTATGATCCGGGTCGCGCAGTAAAAGACGATGATGCGATAGGTGAGCGAGATGATGACGCTGGGGGTGATGGTCTGGAAGGCAGCCCACAGGAAGGTCAGGGAGGAGCTGATGGCGTCGGGAAGCTGGCCCAGCATGTGGAGGAGGGTCGAGTAGGATGCCATGATGATCGGCGGCAGGGGAGGAAACTCGGGCTGCGCAGCCGCGGCGTGTTCCCCGGCCAGGGCTTGCGCTGCCGCTCCGTCGGGCGAAGGGAGATAGTCGGTGAAGATCTGGTATATGCAGAGGACGACGTATGCAAACAGGAGAGAGGATTCAACGGGGTTGCCCCTGCCGCTGCCGATACCAAAGGCGCAGAGAAAGACTGCCGAGGTCATTGTCACGCCGATCAGGGTCGCATCGAGGTTGCCGATCTGTGGGAACCTGGCGACGCGCCAGAGGAAGTAGACCGCGGTGGCCATGATGGAGCCGGAGAAGACAACAAGCACGATCTGTGGAGGGATACTGGTTAGCGGGTGATGATCGAGCTTGGCCGCCGTCGTTGGCTGTGTCAACTTACTATCCAGGTATCACTGCGCCCCCTGTTGACGAGCCATCGTGTGATCTGGCCAGCGGCCTGGATGACCAACAAGCTACAGAAGCCCTCGAGCAACTGGAAGACGGGGCTTGAGTAGCTCAGGCCCTTGTCCCAACCTCCCAGGGTCAGATGCTCGAGCATACCGCCCTGGCCGAAGAACCACTCATGCCAGCTCTCGGTGTATTTGGCGGCGGGCCGGATGTGGCCAAGGGTCCTCGAGACCCAGTCCGTGGAGCCAGCATCGACGGAGAAACGGCTGAGCGACCAGATGAGGAGGCCCGGAAGGACGACCCACTGCAGGGTGCCGAGGGTATTGGTCAAGGTCCACCGCAGCCGTGAGTCTTTTGGGGTTATGGCCTTGACGAAGCTGTAGAGGAAGTAGAAGAGGAAGATGGACAGGCTGTAGGCCAGGCCAGAGTCGCGACCGCCGACATCGAATGCGATGGGTATCGAAAGGATGATGGACAGCAGGTAGACTGCGCCAGAAAGTATCTTGAAAATAGCCCACATCTCGGAATGGGGCGCGTGCGAGGCGGACGGAGTCGGCGGTGGTGGTGGTGGTGGTGGCGGAGCGGGGACGGAGGGGCTCGTTGAGCTCGAGGCCGGTGCTCGGTCGGTCCAGGAGACGCGCCGAGCTGTCGGCTCCGAGATGAGGTTGATGAGGCTACCGTCGATCGAAGAAGAGGCGTATCGATGGGCGCCTGGAGAGCTTTAAAGACCGCAGTGGTAGGCTACCGCGTGACGGCCGTGCTCCCGTGATTGGCTGCTGCGAAGGGAGGAGCAGGGAGCTATGGCGGGCGTCGCGGCAGCTTCGAGATAGGGCAACGGCGGCAGCTCGGATGGTCGGTCGAGAGAAGAGAGGCGAGGCGCGAGGCTGCGGAGGGAGGGAGAGGAGAGGAGCGGGTTGTGGGTGGGAGATCAGCCTTGAGAATGCATCTGCGGCAGGGAGTGAATGCGCTCGTCGACACCGCCGTGCTCGAGGAAGTGCTCGCTCGTTGTTTTCTCGTTTCGCTCGGTTGCCGGTCGGAAGAGCTGCCAGTCTGCTTGAGAGGGCCCCGAAGCTGACAGACCCGAAGACTGCAACGGTTGAGGTGCGCAGGGTCGTGCAGTGCCGTATCTTGTCGCGTCGCGTCGCGGAGTGGTGTGCTCGTGGATTGCCCGTCTCTGACTTTGCCTGGCTTGGTTCCTTCACGTTAGTCGACCTGGATGCGCAGGCGTGGGCGTGGGCGTGTGCATGTGACAAGGGTCCAGCGACCGGCCAAGACGAAGGATGGTTTTTTTCACCCTTCGAGGGGAGGAGGGGTAGGGGTAAGGGGGTAGGGCGGTCGGTTTTCTCCGCTGAAGGGGTCCGGCACAGGGACGAATGACAAAAGACGGGATGATGGAACAGACGGACGGACAGACAGACGGACAGACGGACAGACAGGAAGAAGCCAGAAGAGCTCACAATTCACAACGTGCAGTGAGTGACTGTATACCACGGTGCACACGGCACAAACGAAAGCAGGAATACACGTACATACTCTACCTGCGCATGTGACCACAGTAAACCGTGGCCAAGCTCCCGGTTATACCATGTCACCAATATCCGCCAGTCCTGTCATTAGCTGGTCGTGGGCCTTGGAAGCTAGACAGGCCCGTCCCAGCCAAGTGCGAGAGCCGGGGTTCCAAATTGACCTCTAGCAAGCTGTCTGTCCTCTTCAGAATTGCCCAGCCAGAGCTTGGGTGGTCTAATCTCCCGCCGACTTTGCGTGCAGGTGCTCGTGGCGGGCTGGCACCAGCGATGGGTCGTGAAATTTTCATTTTGAAATATTTCACGGGCCTAAGTGAAATTTCGTTACATCCAGTTGGGTGGGTCTAACATATATATTAAGATACCCTATTATTAGCTATCCCAGGCACCTCTTAAATAGCTAAATAAGTGCCCCTAAGCAGCCAATTAATAGGCTAATTTTGCCCATTTTTTTAATAAAATAAATTAACTTTATTTTAATATATTTTATAACCAATTAGCTTTTTTAATAAATAGCTAAAATAAAAAAAAAGATTATTTAAGGCTAGCTAGGTAATTTATATGTATTACTAAGCTAAAATAACTTAATAAGTCCTATTAATAATTATTTATACTTTCATTATCCTTTAAAAAATATTCCTTAAGATTAATTATAGCTAATTATAATAATAATAGCTTTAAGGGCTTTAAGGGCGTTTTTAATGCTTAAAGCCATTATAATACTTAAGTATTAATATAAATAAATATTAACTTATTAATATTTAATTAATATAAATAATTATATGCTTTTAAGTATATTAAATTTATTGCTAAAAATAACTTTTTGCTAAGCATATTATTTATTAATACTTTAAATAGCTATATAATAATATATTAAGTAAGAGGTATTTTAATAGCAATAAGTTTATTTTACTTTTCCTTAATTAGCTTATTAATATAGCAAAAAGAAAAGCTTAGCTTATAATAATATCCTTAGCCTAACTTAAACTATATATAATTAATAATTATTACTTATTATAGCTTTAATAATATATAATTAATTACTTATTATAAGGCATACTTTTTTTACTTTATAATAAGTGCCTTTAAGATAAGGGATTTAAGGTTAAAAGAAAAAGCAGCTTAATAAATATTAATAATTTACTTTATAAAATAAGTAATAAATAGCTAATATAATATAAATTAATTTACCTTAAGGTATTTTTAACTTTTTTATAATTGCTATTAATGCCCTTAAATGCCTTGCTAGTAAAGGATTATATAGTATATATAAGCATAATCAATCTTTAATTGCTTTTATATATTATGGGTTGGCCTTAAGCATCTGCTAAAAGGTACTTAAAAGGAGTTATAAATTGCAATATTTAAGAAGTAAGTTAAGCCTTAAAAGGGCTTAACTTTAAATTTATTTTTTAAGTATATACCTCGTTATATAAAAGGGTTAAATGTAATATAGGCTTAGCATAAGCATATATTATAGCTTAAATAATAGCTTAAGCTTATTATATAACTCCTTTCCTACTCTTATATTATGCATAATAAGAATTAAACCTAAAGCTTTTGCGGTTTTATGCTAATTATATATTTACTTTATTATGCACTTATTTTAAGGCTATATTTATTTACCTTAAAAGTAATAATTATTTATTTTATTCTTATATTAATTATATTTATATATTATGTTTAGCGTAATGTAATATAAAGTATATATTATATATATTATGAGTTATTATAATATAATAATATTATTATTATATATATAATTTTTTATTAATATATTATAATTATATATAAGCTATATATATTATTAGCTTTAAGCTATAATACGCTTTTATTAATGCATTAATATTACTTATTATAATTATTACCTTTATATTATATTTATTATTACTACTTAAGATAACTTCCTTATAATTACACTTTTTTTTATAATTCCTTTTTCTTAATACTATATTATTATTATAATATATTTATTATATATATTATTTTATTACCTTTATATAATTTTCTTATTATTCTTATAATTATTTTTTTATTTATATTAATTGCTCTTTAGCTTTATTTTACCTTTAGCTAAAAAGCCTTTCTTAATATAATTAATACTTATATAATCCCTTAGCTTCCTTATAATTTAATTCTTTAATTATTCTTTTTTATGCTTATTATGCTTTTCTTATAGCTACTTTTTTTTATTAAAAAGTTATTACCTTAATGTATTAATATCCTTTTAATTTCTTAATAGTTCTTTAATATATCCTTCTTTATTTATATTTTATTTATTAAGCATTCTTTCCTTAGCTTATTAATACTCTTTTAATTCCTTAATATTCTTTTTAATACTTGCTTCCTTTTTATTATATAAAAAGAAGAATAAGAAATGGCTTTTATTATAGGTTTTAATAATTAATATAGCGGCTTTAATATAGCTATTGCTAGTAATAATGATAATAATAAGCTGCCTTATTATCTTAATAATATAACTTTTAAGGTTGCTTTATCTTTTTCTTAATATAAGTTTATTATAATTATTAATTAAGTATAAGAATATTGCATTATAGAATTATATTAAGTGCTTAATAATTTTAATAATAAAGATTAATAGCTTATTAAGTAGCTATTTTTTTTTATAAATTATATATTATAACTTTTTATAAAATTAATAAGCTATTTATTTATATTCCTAAAGATTGCAATGTATTTTATATTAATTGTTATTATTATAAATATAAGTATATTTAGTATATATATATATTTATTAATTTATTATTATTATAAAATATATAATATTATTTAAAGAAAGTAATTATTATTAATAATAGCTATATTTTTATCCTTAAGTAAGTTAAGTTTATTATTTTTACTTATGGTAATATAGTTATATTTACCTTAATTTTTAATTATATTATTATTAATTTTTATAAGGTTATAAGCGTTATATTAATAAAGCTGCTTTTTACTATCCTTGCTATTTACTTAAGTAGTTATGCTTATTTTTATAATATAGCTTTAATTAATGCTTTTATTAACCTTATTAAAAGTATATTTTTAATCTTATTATAGTTTATTAATATATTTTTATTTTCTATTAATATTAATATAATTATATATTATATTAATAGTATTAATATTAATAATTATTAATTAACTTACTTTATTTAAGGAATAATAAATACCTTTATAATTTTTAATAATAATTAAAAAGCTAAGGCTAATTATTATATTAATATATATATATATTTTTAATATAAGTATTTTTCTTATTCTTTTCTTATATTTATATTAATTTAACCTTAAGTATGCTTTAATATATTTAAGGATTGCTATTATAAGAAGTTTAATATAATAATTAATGCCTTAAATACCTTTATTAATTAAATTTTTAATGCTAAGTAACGTAATTATAATTTAAATTATTATTATATTTATAATAAGTTTAAGGAAAAGAAGTAAAAAGATAAGAAGAAAAACTTTAAAAACTTACTTTTTTTTAATTATAATGCTTTTTATTATAAGTATTAATTAGCTTAACTTATTATTATAATTATAATAAGTTTAAGTAATTAAAAGCTTTATCTTTAAATAAAGAGTTTATAAATTTAATTTTTATTATTATTAAGTTATTATGGCTTTATTATTAATTTTTATAGTTTTTAATTTTATAATTAAATATTTTTAATATATTTATTTAAATAAATAATAATAAAGAAATTTTAAGAGGGTAATATGCTTAATATAATCTTATTTTATAAGAAATTAATTATATAGCTTAATTTTCTTTTAGCTTAATATGCTATTTAATTTTTATAAAAGAAAGATTTAGTTTATTTATTAAGTAAATATATAATAAGTTTTAATTAATTAAAAGTATTTATATATAAATAAGGTTATAAATTTAAATTTTATTATTATTATGCTTTATTTAAGCATAATAAATACTTAAAGTTTACCTTACAACCTTATTTAAATAGCTTATAATAATATAATAAGATTTTACTTA